ATGTTTCCGACTATTTCCGCCTCAAATAACTTTCTACCTGTTGAATAGCGGAAACTGCGTCTTAATTATAAGCATTCCGGGAAGAAATTTATTAGTTTTGCTTAAAGTAGGAAGACACCCGGTAGGCATCAGTGCATTCGTCATTTTCTTATTAATAATAACTGCTGTGCTTAGTTTATTGTCTTTTACCCCTGAAAATCATATGCGCCGAATATTTAAATCAACTCTTCACGTTTTGTTTGAGTTGAGGCGATGAAAATCTTAAACATTACAAGATATTCTTATTAGAAGAACCATTTTTTAATTTAAGAATTTCTGTATTTTCTTTATAGATAGTTGCGGTTAGATTATTTTCAACTAATTTCACAGTCCGGCCGGGCAGAGTGATTTCAGATGGAAATTCATTTTTCGGCTTCAACTAAGATTTGGGCGAGTTTTTCCAAGTGGTATCGATATTTTTTGTTCAGAAAAAGAAATTGCACAGTGTTAGATGAAAGCAACTTTCTTTGGATAATTGACTGTATCGATTCTATTATTATCATATGATTAAAAGCAATGACTTGCCGAAGTTATACTCTGATGTCTTAATTTGCCGATGAAAAGTTTCAGGCATCGAAATATCAATGAGATCTCTGATGAAAGAATTTACCGATATATTTGGCCTTGTTCTCCACTCTTATGAATCAACAATCAGTTACGACTCCACCTTTTAGAAAATCAGATACAAAAGGGAATTAACTGAATCCCTGACACCGAAATCTATCTATCTCGCCACTTACTGCTCTGAAGGAACGGCTCGCCAAAAATCTTCTCTATTTCGTTAGGCGTTAGCAAGTTGTGCACATTCTAGACAGAAACAACAGAAGATATAAAGGTCAAATCGTTCGACAAATGTTGGTGAAATTAAACTTGTGACCCTGCTTTAAAATGTTTTTGATCATGATAAAAAGCGTTTCAGCTTACCTCATATATATTTGCTGAGGCCCGCGGAAGAACAAGGAGAGAAAGAATTATAAAGGAAAAATGTGAAAGCATTCTTCTTTGAGCGAAAAGAGGGATCCTTGTCTGACACGGTCCGATTAATGCAATAGCCGCAGTACAAACTAACAGGTATGCGTCTTTCTTGAGTTAATTAGACTTTCAAATGAAACCAATGTTTTCCTGTACATATGTGTTCTTATTCGGTGACCGATGGAGTTTTCCTCGCAGGGCAGCTACTCAAGTCTTTGTCTCAGTCGGTTCCTCTTTACCATTTAGCTATTAACGCTGAACGCAAACAATAACTGTAATTAGAAAACACTGTCCTGCCTTTTAAGGCTTCTTAAAAACTCCACTTTTTGGATTTCTTGTTTTTACGTGCGATAAGATCTTTCCGCTACCCATACCTCAAATAATCAAAGTATCGCTAGACCTCTTGAGCAATTACTTCTCGTTCAGTTTCAAACAAATCGAAAGCCTCCCCATAACTTTAATTTCATTCAAGTAAACTGAAAACTGAAGGAAAAGTTTCCAAAGCTCTGCCGCCCTACCCAGACCTAACCAGGCTAACCACAGCCCTAAAAGCTTTTTATTCCTATAATAAATCTCAATCTGTCATTTTAGTTTGTTGAAATAAATAATTTCTTTCGGACAAGCTGAGCCACTTATACTTAATTGAAGCCTTTTCTGTATAAAATTAGCTCACCACAAAGGCAAATGTCCCTTTTAACCGATCAAATAAAACGCATTTTTATTCTTTCTCGGCAAAAGCTGCTGTCACGCGAAATTTATGAAATTGTTTCATTTGCTTTAAGTATCCGGTCTAAGACAAAAATTAAAAAAAAAAATTAGGATCCATTCCGAAAGCTCACGAAACGAATTGATTTTAATTTCTAAAAGAACAAGAATACGAATCTCCACAAAAAAAGTCAAACGGTGGTTTGACGAGACTAATTATTTTCATTCATGTTTTTACTAAAAAATAAAACGTTTTTTTGTTTTATGATAACCATCAAGGCAGAACTTTACGAGCTAGGATTAACATCAAAATACTTCATTTCTTACTGAAATTACTTTCTGCGGTTACACAGAAAGAGAATTTGTTGCAGAATCAGATCCAGAAAGATCTTAGAGCGGAAGGCCTGTCATATTTAGCCTGATAACTGTAAAATTTATCTCTAAAATCGTTTTGGCATTTGTCAGTTGATTATAGGCTCAGGGTGTGCTCAATCGAACTTGAATCTTTCACCTTGGATAACACCCTTAAAATATTTACGCCAACTGAAGTTAAATCTGTACAGAATTTTGATTTCGCCCATTTGATCACCTCAACATTCGGATTTGTACAATTAGGTTTGGTCACAATAGTCATGTTATGTTCTATTCATTTCAATTAAAAGTAATCGAATATTTGATTTTTATTTACTGTGTTTCACTCAAATTAGGAAACATTCCAGAGGTTCATTTAGTTTTAAGAATGTCCAAACCGCATTGAAATATTCAGATATACACTAAAGTACTTCATTCCCCGACTCTTCGGCGTCATGGTTGCTCAGCTTGGGCTGAGCTCAAAATGACGGAGATTTGACGATAAAGCATGGTCGCTGGGCGTGTTTTAGGGATAATTTGACTTGTCGTTACTACTCCCAGTAACCACAAGTTTAAACTAAACGAAACCCATCATCCACTTTAAATAAATATGCAGACTTCAATATATGAAGGCGATCTCAGCTTTAATCATATTGTTTTCTCCCGCTAGCGTTTTCGCTTTTCTATAATAAGATTAATTCTTACTCGGCAAGGAATTTCAATGCACTCGCTTTTTCACATGTGCATCATACACTCGTTCGACAGTTGTAGTATGAACTCTTATCTCTTCAAAAATTGTAATTTAGCCATTGAAATATTGCAAGCCATTGAAACCTGCTTATAGAACAAAAGAAACAGGTAGAAACACAAAGTGCATGAATGAATCATTTCATCAGAGTTAGTACTGCGTAGAACTGTATGCATTGGGTTTAATTGGAAGGGAAATGTAAATCGTCAAAAGCTCTTGTACTAAGGCAATGAACTCAGTTCTAAACATTGTCTACCCTGATGTTTCGTCCATAAGGTCCTTGAAAACGTTGCTAAAAATAAATGAACTGTAGCAATAAAACCACTGAAATTTTCCTGTAGAGCAAAGTTAAAAGTTAGAAACACAAAATGCATGAATGACTCGTTTCATCAGATCATAGATGTACAAATGAGAAAAGATACATTTTTGCATCACATTACAACTCCAACTTTTTTGTGAAAAAGAGCATACACATCTGAATTACAAAAATTCTTTTAACATTCTAACATGCCAAATAAATAGATTTTTAATGTTTCGATCCTTAAATCTAAAGATAGCGCTTCTTCTTCAAGGAATTGAGATTGTGTTTTTTCAGTAGATTGCCGATTCTGATTTTAATTGCAGAGAATAATTCCAGTATCAGGATATTCATTACCGCATTCGAGTGTTGCAATTTTGTTTCAACGGATACACATTATTTACTTTCAAGCAATTTTACATATCCGTCATATTTTATAGCAGAAGTATGATATATCCTGTATTGAACTGCAAACGTACGTGTCTTTGCGATAGAGTATGATAAGTCATTAAGATTTCGATGTCTTTTAATGTACGGATTTCGTTTCGACAAAACAATTGCTCAAACCACCGGCAGACTGTGTTCTGAGAGCCACTTGTAAAATCGTACGTTTAACTCCTGCTACAAGCCTCATCTATTTAGGTACCTTTGAACGAAAATAGAAAAATTTCGCCTGAGTGGGCGATGTTTAAAATAGCACAAGAACACGATACTAAAATCTATTCGCAAAGTAAGCCTACATGACATCTCCGAAGAACACATCCGGTCTTCTCTTGAAAACTCCTGGAAAACCAAAATCTTATCTTTGATGGTCATTTCCACGTTGTGGAAGCACAAAATCGGTATTTAAGGATAGTTTTAATCTGCCAAAAGCAGATCTTCTCGCACTGAGATTATTAAGGAACAACACAATGGCTTAATTCAGTTTATATTTCCCATAATTTTCCACCTTTCCGCCGCAGCAGAAACGCACGTTAAGGGCTTTTTGGAGTTCCCACACAGGTTAAATGATAACTTACATTAATCTGATCTAAGTCCAAAATTTACTGAATTATTAAAACTTACTTAAGTTTTGCTTTTCTGCCTTAACGAGATACTATAAAAGATCTTTTTAAAATATGCCATTATGAATTAGATGCTTCTCGATTTACTTGATAAAATCCAAGTGTCTCAAAGGCCTGTGAATGCACAACCTCAAAATATTTTTTGGTAATAACGTGAAATTAAAGAAAAATGTTTGTATTCAAAGGTTCCTTCACATTAATTCAAGAACTATAACAAAGACTTCGTCACTTTATTTTCACTCTTGGTCTTTTACAATCTTTTTTTGGCCATTTTAGTAAATAGATTTGAATTTCAAAGTCGGCTTTAGTAGGCCGATTCTTAGCAATAAACTGAGTGCCACCAGGTACGAAAATTATAACGAATTATAAAGAAAAATTACAATTATAAAGAAAAAAAACAACACCACATTTCTTTCTAACAGGTGATTATAATTTGAAATGAAGCAACAGAAAAGCGTTATTAATATAAAACAAATTTTACGTTTTTCCTTATACATTTCATGTCTTTTCGGCAGGTAAATCTTCTTTTTTAATTATATCAATTAGTTGTAATTGATCTTGACTTAAGAATTACCAAAAACACGATTTATCTGCCTAAAGCAACACCAACAAATGGAGCTGAAAAAGCGTTCTTTTTCCTCGTGAAAATAGTTTACTCTGAGGTAAACTAAAAGGAACAATCGGAAACAGACAACAAAGACGAGGAGAAAAAAGTGTTCCAACAGTACAGTCTCGACTTCAAATTGAGCATCAAAATAAGGTTACTTTACGTAAATTGTGTCGGCGTTGTATCTCATTCACTCACTGAATCACGTAAAATCCCTGCAGGTACTTTTGCTCTTTAGTATACCCTCCCAAGTGTTTTTAAATATCACGTTTCTTCTTTAACATGCCGCGGGCGCACAGCTGAGAAACTGCGTGAAAAGGAAGCTAAAATCCATTTTCCCTTTGGGGAAATATTTGCCTCTAATTTAGCTAGTCACGGAATCAACAAAAAACGCGGCTTCAGCTGCATGTTTTTAAAAAGTCAGAAGCCGGACTGTCAGATATTATAAATAAAAGTAACTGAATACCTGGCGAATGACAAATCAAATAGAATTTACTAATTTCATTAAAATTTAAAACTAAAAACAGCTTACACTTAAAAATGACTCTACTTATCAGTTTTGTGCTGTACATCGCCGCTAGCCTGCTTATTAAGTCCCGTGCAAACGAACGCAACATTGTTGGCCAACAACTCCCAACATGGTTGGATGTTATATGTTGCGCCTCAGTTTGCACACCCTGTTGCATTATGCCTCGACGCGTGTTGTTGGGAGTTGTTGCACAAAGTTTGAAACCGGTCAAACTTTTAGCTACCTGCAAACAGACGCAACAACTCCCAACATTGTTACAGTTGTTGCATCCGCTTGCACGTTTCTTTATGCTCTTAAAAGACGTTATACGTGAGTAAAACAAGTCTAGTTTTACTGACAACATAGCCTCTCGAGGTTTTGAGCCAAATATGTGAAAGGTGAAAGGTTTGTTGAGGTTGGTAACAGAAGAAAGCTTTACAATCTTCCTTAAAAAAAGCCATTATAAAGATTGACTAATGGCGCTTTCCATCTATCAGAACTGACCGGCCAGACCATTCCCGTAGTTATGAGAATTTCCATTTTAATCAAAATATTCCAGTCAGATCAGTCAAATCCTAAACAGTAGTCATGCTTTTTCAGCAAAACCTCCTGGGAAAAGTTTATTTCATACTCAAAATGACTGGTCTGGCCGTGGTCCGGCTTTAAGTCAAAAGAATTTTGGGGTAACTGACAAGTCTCCGAGGCACATGATTTTTACAGAGGGTAAGGATTAGTCACCAGTCACCAAGTACATGTACTTCAAACTCTAAACTTCAAGGAGAATGAGAAAAAGGCTTCGGAAAAAAAATATTTTCTCGGTTCGTTGGTGAGGAATTTTTAAGCAATTGCTTGGTTTCGTTGTGTCTTAAGATTCCATCGACCAATCATAGTTAACGCTTGTTCACCCAAACTCCCAGAAACGGTTGTGTAACAAGTGCCATTTCGCTGAAGCTTTCAGAGTGCAGAACATTATTCAAAGGCTCATCTAAGGGAGTATTAAAGACAAAAATGACATCATTATTGAAAACTGAATGAAATCAGTTTTATTGATTTACCAAACTTGTTTACAAAATCATGATGTCCAAAAATACCAAAGGTCAACTTCATTTACAAGTAACTAACATAATATGTACATTAATCTTTATGAAACATATGCTATGAAACATATGCTACTCTAATGCACTATGCCTAATGTGCATCTTTTGTTATTCGTTCTGAAATGAATATTTACAGAAAAGTGGCTGATGAAAAAGTTAAAGGTTAGTAAACAAAATGTCATTACTTTGAAATTATCTGAGACAAAACTAGTAAAATAAGTAAAATTTCAATCACATAACTTAAGTACATGTGTTTACATGAAGTAGTCTTAACTACTGAATACCCTCTGGAAAGGATCTGGGCGGAAACGTGATCTGAAATTTGAAGCAGACAAAAAAAATCAGTATTCCAGCTAAAATACGGTTCACAGAATAACAGAGATTGGCTTACTTCAAAATGCTTTCTTTTGAATGTAACCAATTTCCTATGCATCTTGGATCCGAACCCAAGCGCCTCAAAGCATGTCTTTTCAGCAGTTTTATTCGGCAAAGAAAACGTCTAGCTTTCACTTTGACGACACCCTCATACTTTTAGACCCATTTATCGCCAAAAAGAAAATACGAAAGGAAAATCTGGTTCGGGCATAATTGTCATGCAGAAAACCTGTCTCTCTCTGTTTTTTCAAAGATACCGCCTTATCCATTACCTTAGTTTTTAGCGTCCAGGTCGTCATTGCATGGATTGTCTGCGTTACAGGTCATGTGAGTAGGAGGCTTGATATCAGTACATTCATTCTCTTCTACAGTCGCAGCCTGGCCTGATGAATTGACTCTAACACATTTCACATCCATGGCCTGGACACCAGCACCGCAAGAAGTTGAACACTGTAAACAGTGTAAGAATATAACAATTGAGAGAAAAGAAAATCGTTCAATCAATTTGTGACTGGAATTAGCACTTTGAAAGGCTTCTTTGACTTTCCTGTTTGATAGGCGAAATTTGGATCTTTTCAATTGTGACCAGACAGAAGTTGTTGTCTGCTTCTCGTTTAGTTCATACCACATGTATGCGTACTGAAGATAAATTGGTTGGAGGCCGGATAGATAACTCTCACTCAATAAGTTGTCATAAATTTAATAAACTTATTAATATGCTTTACAACACTAATTATCTTGTTTACTCTCAGGTTAAATTGGAAAAACAGAGTTATGCTATGTTATTTGACTTACAGCGCCTGCTCGCACTGTGTACCACTCTGCTGGACAGGGCTGAGTTCCACATTCCTCGTAAGTTGCTGGTTTTGGTCCTTTGCAATCAACTTCTTTCACTTCTATCTCCACACTTTGTGAATCTGTGGCACAGAAAACCTCGCGTGACCTAACTCCACGCGTGCCGTCATTGCAGGTTTTAGAACAATCGGTCCATGGACCAAACTCCCACCTATAGGAAAAGATAAAAAGGATCGGAAAGCGTCTCAAAACTTTTTTCATGATATTAAACAGTTATTGGATGAGGTTTTTGTGATATCGGGAATAATCCACTGAACACTTGATCATTTAGGATATCACAAAAACCATATTCTATAATTTATTTATAATACATTGCTAAGGACAATCATGCTTGGCGCGCGCAACCTAGACAGGGGGCCACAATGCTTAATAAACTGTAAAGTCTTAGCCAGTGAGTAGAGATACTATTTTAGATCAAATTTTATAAAATAACTAAGATAGTACGCGCGCTCTGATTGGCCGAGAGCAGTGTTTGCATGAGAGTATGTAAACATGGTTGCGGCGTCAAGTTGTTTGGTTTTTCGCGCGCTAATCACGCAAGCACAAATTACAATTTCTTTTACGGTTAACTTTTTTTTACCCTATTTACGGCTAACGGTTAAAATTTTTCAATTTTTACGGCTATCGACTAAATTTTTGGCCGTTTTACGCCTATCGGTTAACCCCATTGAGACCCTCAAAGTTGCTGATGAAAAAGTTAAAGGTTAGTAAACAAAATGTGATTACTTTGAAATTATCTGAGACAAAACTAGTAAAATAAGTAAAATTTCAATCACATAACTTAAGTACGTGTATTTACATGAAGTAGTCTTAACTACTGAATACCCTCTGAAAAGGATCTGGGCGGAAACGTGATCTGAAATTTGAAGCAGACAAAAAAAAATCAGTGTTCCAGCTAAAATACGGTACACAGAATAACAGAGATTGGCTTACTTCAAAATGACCCAAAATGCTTTCTTTTGAATGTAACCAATTTCCTATACATCTTGGATCCGAACCCAAGCGTCTTAAAGCATTTCTTTTCAGCATTTTTATTTGGCAAAGAAAACGTCTAGCTTTCACTTTCACGATACCCTCATATTTTTAGACCCATTTAACGCCAAAAAGAAAATACGAGAGGAAAATCTGGTTCGGGCATGCAGAAAACCTGTCTCTCTCTGTTTTTTCAAAGATACCGCCTTATCCATTACCTTAGTTTTTAGCGTCCAGGCCGTCATTGCATGGATTGTCTGCGTTACAGGTCACGTGAGTAGGAGGCTTGATATCAGTACATTCATTCTCTTCTACAGTCGCAGCCTGGCCTGATGAATGGACTCTAACACATTTCACATCCATGGCCTGGACACCAGCACCGCAAGAAGTTGAACACTGTAAACAGTGTAAGAATATATCAATTGAGAGAAAAGAAAATCGTTCAATCAATTTGTGACTGGAATTAGCTCTTCGAAAGGCTTCTTTGACTTTCCTGTTTGATAGGCGAATTTTGGATCTTTTCAACTGTGACTAGACAGAAGTTGTTGTCTGCTTCTTGTTTAGTTCATACCACATGTATGTGTACTGAAGATAAATTGGCTGGAGGCTGGATAGATAACTCTCACTCAATAAGCTGTCATAAATTAAATAAACTTATTAATATGCTTTAAAACACTAATTATCTTGTTACTCTCAGGTTAAATTGGAAAAACAGAGTTATGCTATATTATTTGACTTACAGCGCCTGCTCGCACTGTGTACCACTCTGCTGGACAGAGCTGAGTTCCACATTCCTCGTAAGCTGCTGGTTTTGGTCCTTTGCAATCGCTTTCTTTCACTTCTATCTCCACACTTTGTGAATCTGTGGCACAGAAAACCTCGCGTGACCTAACTCCACGCGTGCCGTCATTACAGGTTTTAGAACAATCGGTCCATGGACCAAACTCCCACCTACAGGAAAAGATAAAAAGGATCGGAAAGCGTCTCAAAACTTTTTTCATGATATTAAACAATTATTGGATGAGGTTTTTGTGATATCGGGAATAATCCACTGAACACTTGATTATTTAGGATATCACATAAACCATATTCTATAATTTATTTATAATACATTGCTAACGACAATCATGCTTTGCGCGCGCAACCTAGACAGGGGGCCTCAATGCTTAATAAACTGTAGCGTCTTAGCCAATGAGTAGAGATACTATTTTAGATCAAATAGTAGTCTTTTACTGGAGCCGCCTTAAGAGAAAATGCTTTCTACCCTTGGTGCCAGATCCTTTTATCGCTGAGTTTTGCGCGATATTCAATCATTAACTATCTTTAAATGCAAACTTTAAGACCCACCTTTTTCGGACAGGTTAGACTATTGTTATTTTTGATTAATTAATTTACTTACTTATTTTTTCATTCAATTGTATTTTACATTTCACATTTTACATTGTTTATTTATATCCTTTACAATATATTTTTAACTGAGTGTATTATTGTAAAGCGCTATTGATCATTTCTAAAATTAAATCAAAAGAATAAATAAACAAATTAATATTCAGTGTTTGCACATTCACACAGTGGTTCTTCTTCTACCGTTCTTAACTGCATGCAATTTGGAAAATTTGTCTTTGTCTTTGAGGAGATCGGAAAACCGGAGCTCCCTGAAAAAAACCCGTCGGAGCAAAGAAGGAAACAAATAAAAAACTCAACCCATGTATGACGTCGCTTCTGCGTTTTGATTCCTGGCCACAAGTCTGGGAGGCGAGTCTCACCGCTGCTTCATACTTGCCTAACCAGCAGAGTGTTGATTTTGTGACCGCTTACTCGTCCCTTTTTATTCAGTTATCCCTTTCTCAAAAACCAGGGCCACTATCTTTCATATAACAAGGCCAGAAATCTAGCTTAACTGTTTGAGGAACACGATAATATTATTTTTGAATACATTTGGTCTTATATAGCGCCGCAGTTCCCCATGTCTACACCGGTTTGTCGATGATTGCATGCGACTGCTATCGCAACCGTTAAGTATTATATCTCAAGAATATTTTTCATATAGAACAACTCTGCAAATGGCGATTATATGCTACTGAAGAATGAAGTCTTGCTGATGTCATATACTCCAGAGTAAATTCAGTTCTAATATACACTCATTGCATTACCGGCCTCACCTCGCAGGGCATCTTTGGAGATTACACTTTTTATACTTGTCCTTAGGCCTCTTTTCCTCACAAAACTGATCTCCAACCGCTGACTCATCGTCGTCTCGGACACAGACTGCAATCATCGTTTCCACTCCTGTAAGAAAAGGAAGCTTAACACAAAACGTGGAAATTGCTTCTATTTCAGTTTATAAACCTGTTTCGTGTTGAATAAGGTAAATTTGACGAATTTTTATGGGAAAAGGCTAATTTAAAACTAACTGGTAACTTTCTTTGAAAAACGGTTTTATAATTTTTCCTTCCTCTAACTGACTTTGCTATTAGCGCTCAATATCCCCCAACCTCCGATGTCCTGATATTCATTCACCAATTCACAATGGGAATAATTGCTCGAGAAGTCATTTGCTTGCATAGTCTTTCGTATGTTAGCTAAGTTTTTCTGAAATGAAACACAAACAACGGTGATAAACATTGTGTGCGTTCGCATTTTTAAATAAACTTGACTTTTCTCATGCTAGTGAATATACATATGCAAAAGTGAAGGCCCACAGTGTTATCACCGTTGTTTGTGTTTTATTTCTGATTAAACTACGATGGCCCAAGAACAAAAGTCTTTAGGTTTTTTTGGTTTATTCAAGTTGCAGCAACCCACCGTATAATCTGGAGATTTATTTTTTTTTGCGAGTAGGTCGCTGTGAACACGAAGATATTGCGTCGAATGACACTATTAGAGAATATTTTCACTCTTTCAGTTGCAATGCTACCATTAAAAGGACTTGTTTTGAATGTCTTAGAAGTCTTTGAGGACCTGAAATAGAGAGGAAAAGTGTGACGTCACGTTATCCATACCTTCACCACAGGTAACAGAACATCCTTCTGACGTCATAATCCATTTAGTCTTTGTTTTCTCACGAGCCTGATTTGCTTTCTTGGCGTCACTAAGTTCTTTATTGACTTCCTCAAGTTCTTGAATAAGTTCTGGAAAGTCATCACTGTTTGAAAAGAGGTCCCTTCTAGACTGGGCACCTCCTATCATATACCGGCCAGTCACTTTGTATTTTTTCTGGTCATCATTAGCCTCAAACTGTGGAGAAAGAGAATTGAGTAGGGTAAGTAATACGTAAGGGTCATTAGGATTTATTAAGAGAGGAGAATGTCCCATCTACTACTCAAGAAAAAACAAACAAACAAACCAACCAACAAACAAATCGCTCATCATCTCTCTACACTAGTGGTTCCAATTCACGTCATCATTCCATTTACACGCAATGAAGAAAGGTGCGCTCGATTTTTGTATTTTGAAATAAGAATACACGACATTTTTTTACAGATTTCTTCTGTCGTTATTTCTTGATCACTTGAACGCTATTTTATTAAGACAGGTTTCTAGATTTTTCAATGCAGTGAATACCATGATTTCTAGATTCTCCGTTTATTCGTATTCTGGAATACGGTCAATCGAATGCGCCTTAAGTGTCGAGTTTCACCAATCTAAAGACTTTCATAAACGTCACGACCTGTATGAACAAAAAGCCTTAAAATGACCCTTTCCCAGAAAAGCAATGCTCTAACCAGGTTCGTCGAGTTACAAGCTTCTAGATATGTATGGTGTATTAATTACTTACCAGTAATGTTAAGCTCTCTGTTAAGGGACCTCGGGCTGTGATGGTCTCCCTTTCGTGTTTCTTATTGAACTTAAAAGTGGTTCCAGCCCCTCTAAAGTTCTTTGGACCGTAATCGGCAAGGTACGAATCGTAATTCAGGATATTGTTCATGCCAGCATCTTCCAGCACTTGGAAAAAAAAAAGAAAACACACTACGTGAATAGTCTAATTTGGTCTTGTTTCCCCATACCACCGGAATATTCCCAGGAGAAAAGTGAGAGGTGTAACAATTATGATACACTTCAAGGAAAGGTAGTTCAAGGAATTGCCATTCCCTCGGGCGCTGAGATTTGACTGTGCATTTGGGATTGCAGTGTTTTCTTTAATTACGAAAATCCCATCCCTGCTCTGTAATCGTCCCCACGGAATGATAATACAAGGAAGGTCTCCTCAATTTCTGTTTTACAGCTATTTTCACTACACTGGAATCATTCTTCTCAGTTCCAGGTCATGCTTTCTGTCTGCTTATGTCTGCAGAAAAAGAAGATTTAATGGCCGCCCGCCAAAAGCCCTTCTTTCGTAGCAAAGAAACCTTTTAATTTGTAAGGGCTTCTGACTTCACGCACTCCCCTTCTTTGGAATAAACATTTCTCCTTCGTTCGACATTTTAAATAAGCGCCCGGGTGCCTCTTGCATGCAATAAAATTTTATAGAGCTCATGACGCCAAGATTACTTACTTAAGTTGTTAACAGAAGCAGTAACTTCTTGGATTTCAATATTTCGAGCTCCTTTAGGAAGAGTCGTTATTGTCTGATAGTAGTCCCCTGTAGAATAGAATAAAAAGAGGTATTCGTCGATGAAAAAGCACTTTTAAGCATTGGCAGCAGCATGGAATAACTGATATCCCTTTCATGTTATACCAGTTTTAAAGAAGATGAGCAGAAAACTAATGGATCTTCGATATCTATATTAGTATTCGATTAAGCGCCCAACCTCGAATAAGCGCCCACCTGAGTCGAGTAAGTTCCCACGCTCAGGTAGGAGAAGTTAATAAGCGCCAAGCCTGGAATTGCCTGGAATAAGTGACAACATTTTGTTATTATTTATTGCTTTCTTACAAAACAAATTTACTACTTGTTGCAAAAGTTAAGATTTGATAAGCGTATAGCCTCGAATAAGCGCCCACTCTAAAGATCCAAAAATTTACCAAGCGCCCAGGGCGTTTAATCGAATAAATACGGAAAAATCCAGTAGTGAGTTAAAGTTTTAAACCTAGTCTAGCGCTAACTGGCCTTCAAATAAGGCCCAGTGAGCCGTGGCTCTCTGTTCTGTAGCTACAGACCGCACCCTGTAGTTGCTCGCGACGAAGGGGAACTGATTCAAACGCCTATCTTACATCCTGGCTTCCGGTTGAACGTGAAGGTCTTTAGTTGACCGCTGGAGGCTGGTTTAGGCTTGATCGGCCTTGGTGTTATGTTGCCATTGATAGTACCCCCAGAACAGCTAGAACCATCTCCATTACACACTCCACATCTGTCTTTCTTCGCTCTGGAATCAAAGCCGCCGTCACATCCAACGGCCTAGAAGAAAATGGTATTTCGCAAAAGTCACGAGGGACACTCTCTGAAGTCTTTTAACGTAGGGAGAAATAGATCTTGTGAAATAGGGTAGCACAGCTGTGACAGCAGCGCCTCCTACTGATGTAGTCGGGGTTCAAATCCAGACGTCGACGTCATATGTGAGTTGAGTTTGTGATTAGTTCTTTCCCTTGCTTCGAGAGGTTTTTCTCCCCGTACACCGGTTTTCACCCCCCCCTCCCCCTCACCCCCTAAATTAAAAACCAACACTGCTAAATTCTAATTCGATCGGGAACGCATGGAAACATTAAAACGAGTTCTTAAGAACTCCTACGTGTTTCGTGGGTACTAAATTACATTTAATTATAAGGTTTGTGGGCTTACAGGTCTTGTTTAAAGAACTAGTGTAAAAACACGTTACCTCTGCAAAGTCTGAAAAATACCCATCATTGTCCCTTATTAGTTCATATTAGCAAGTAACGAGAGAAAATGTCTTTTCTCTCAGACAGGATTCGAACCTATGACCTTCCAAATATTCTATTTTCTAAACTTCCTTAAGCAATATTATATTTTACCTTGCATTGTCCATTGACGCAGAATGTCTTGTCAGGTTTATCAGAGCAAGGCGTTCCGTCCTTTACATTTCCAAAAGTTGTGGTGTCTCCATTCGTTGTAGCACAGCTTAAAGCACACTTTGGAGAACCTGAAATAGAAAAACTATAGAGGATAAGATGTGCACTCTAGTCTTTGATCGAATTGTGATAGCACATTTTTTTATTTTAATGGTCCTCTTTTTCTTCTCTTACTACATTTTTGCTTCGAAAGCACCAAGTAAAATTACTTTTTTCGGGAAGTTTCATTAAGTCGAACAATAAAAAAGACTAAACTACTGGTATCCGAATTAAACAGAAGATGTTCCTTAGTCTTAGGGCCCTTATCAAAAGTCAGATTAACTGGCCAGCCGGACCGGTCTTTTTTAGAGTAAGGTGGATTAGCGCAGTTGATTAGTGCACGACCTTCTGTGTGGGAGGTCCCGAGTTCGATTCCCCTGTGTGAGCACAACTGAAATCCTTCTTTATACTTCTTTCCTTTCCCTGAAGCTTTAAGTCAAGCTTTAAATACCCGTAAAACGGAGTACTGTTGGAGAGAGGGGGTTAAAATGAGAGCACCGTCGGCCTCACGTTTGTTAGCAGATGACTATTTCCAGCAACCGACTTAAAATTAGGACTCTTAATTTACCTTTTTTATATGTCTTTTTCGAAATTTCCTCTAAAACCCATCACTGCCGAGCATATCTGAATAGACGGATCTGGCTAGACAGGTGTAATCAATAGACTAAGAGCAATTCTTTTTACAGCTTGACCGGTCTAACAAATGGGAAGAGTTCTTAAGCCTTGTAGTGGTACCTATACCATTAATATATACAAACCTTGGGCATAATATGGGTCATAAATCCATTTGAATGGTCCTCCTTCAAACTGAACGTGTCTGTTGTTTATGCATTGTCTCATCCTGGGATTCTCGGAGTTTGGAGGGCATTTCTACAGTGTAAAAGTCAATGTGAATATACTTCCAATGACAGTTTCCAATAAGAAAGATGTGAGGATAATTGCCAACCGAATATTGCATGTATAGACGCCTTGATCAATATTCACTTAGAAGTCTTGCCTTGTCAGGACGAATCAGTGCATAAAGGCTCTGGAAATGGTTTAGTTTTTAGTCCACAACTTTCTCTAATTCTTACAGTCTTGTAAGATCTGGTTTAAAAGAATAGTCCCCTAGAAAGGTAACCCAAGAAAGTCTTGGATTCTGGATTCTTCGCTTTGGATACCTGACTCCCGTCATAAGCGGGATTCCAGACTCCTTAAGCTGAATTACTGATTCCAAAGCCCAGGATTCCCGGGTCCACAAGTAAAACTTCCCCGGATTCTCGGATTCGGATTACCTTATATGGGGCCGTAAGTAACTTAGCCTCGTTTCCAGTCGACCTCAGCGATTTCGGATACGACGTCGCGCTAGGTTCCAAGCCCCCTCCACTCACTTGGATAGCGCGAACTAGCCCGGGGAAGAGGCTGAGAGTAACTGGTTGCTAACGATATGGGCTGAAAGTTGTTAGCTGATAAATCACCAAAAAACTAATTGCTGACTGAGATTTCAGCACCTTCATGCACACCCTCTACTCTTTGAAAACCCAATAGAAATGTTAGTATCACTAGCATTCTAGCAATGTTTGTCTAAGGCTGCCCATAGTTGCCATATTACGAAATATATAGAAGCTGTAATGGTAAAAAAGTGTGTTCCTCTAAGGTCGGGCTGGTTAGGAAGAAAATGGCCTGAAGCACAAACTAAACTTTGAACTGCAAAGTTAAATTGTAAATTACCTTAGTACAATATGTGTATTCTGCAGCTTTCCCTTCGCACAGTTTTCCTCTGTGTTTTGGTCTGATCAAGTAGAGAAAGAAAGAGTCTCTTACTGATCAAAACGTTCTAAAAAGCTCTAATAATAGGTTACCTTGAAAATGAAACGAAGGGAAGCTTAAGGCGAAAACACCAACATGGTTTAAAAAAGGCAAATTGATGCAGAAACCGTGATGTAGTTATGCGAAAAACTGAATTGTTTTTTTTTCTTGTGAAATAACTTACGCAGGATTGTTACACTTGCGCATTCTCTTCTTAAGTCCTCCTCCACAGCGCGGATAACATGCGCTCCACCTTCCCCAGGCTCCCCAGTTACCATCCACATTCTGGTAACCTGTTTTCCCTTCAGGGAGGCATTTTCCCCGGCTACACACCTATGAGATAACAGATTGAGCCTCAGTAATTATGGTCCTGAAACCATATGAATTAACTCAGTAAATATTTCAAAAACAAAATAACATCCTCGAAAAAACTTCGCGACACTCACTAATTTTTGACGCTGTGCTTAGAAATATTTGACAAGTCAATGCTACTTATTTAAGGGCTAAGTTAAAAATTTTGTCTGCGCAGTATTTTCTTTTTGTGTTGTTTCTATTTATTTTGAGTAAATTGACGTGTTGGACATATCTTTTTAGTAAATTGAAATCTCAATGCGTTTGAAACCGGAGGCTTGTTTTCTCTCTTTGGGGGATGTTCTGTAGTGATCTTCGGAGCGGAGTCTCGTTTTGATTTAAAGCCATTTCGCGTCTTGCGTAGCCTCAGGATAAGCAAAATAAGCAAAATACACTTGAATACTATCGAGCTCATTGCCTTTAGGTATTATTTTTGTCCTACGTGTGAATTTGCCTTCATTTTATTTCGCGGTTTCGTTAATAGAAGTGGATTAAAGAAGGATCGGTACCATGTCATCGTTGAGACCACATATTGTTCCATCTGCGGCTGGTTCGTCATTGGACTCACAATATCCGTCAGGTTTTAGACAGTGTAAGGTGACGCACATTTTCTGTAGTGAGGAAGATCAAAGGATCGGTACCATGTCATCGTTGAGACCACATATTGTTCCATCTGCGGCTGGTTCGTCATTGGACTCACAATATCCGTCAGGTTTTAGACAGTGTAAGGTGACGCACATTTTCTGTAGTGAGGAAGATCAACATCCAGAAAAATAATAAACAAACTGAATAACGTTTAGCCGCACCTGGGATAACATACTGACATAACAAGTATTCCACTAAATAAATGCGAATGGTAGAAGGAAACGTCCTACTTAAGGTGCCAGATTAAGCAAATTTCATAAGTAATAAACCCGCGTTTGTCAGTTTATTATTTATCAACTGCTCAAGTTAAAAACTCAGCTGCGAGGATCTTTTATCGATTCAAAGATGTAACTAGTTTTAAGTATGTTCCACTACAATGTCTCACAGAAATTAATTACTCAACCGGGTTTTACGCTTTTGTTCTTGATGTACATAAGAGTGCGAAGCTAACTTCCCCATTTTTACTCATATTGTACAATCAAATTTCCAGTTATGCCGAGATCACCTGTTGTCTTGTTCATCTAACTTATAAAACTTGTCCTTCTCCCCCTCACCTCACCTTTTTATATTCCGGCATTTGACAAACACTTGAACCAGCACCAAATATGCGCACACATTGGTCATCCCCGTTGTAGAGTTTTCCCGGCAGCCCTTGAGGGATTGAGACTTTGTGGTCGCTGCTGTCATTCAGGCATTTAGACTGAGCAGTCCTGCGCAAAGGTAAATTCAGTTCAAAGCATTACTGCAAGGGATAATAGTAACATACAGTTAAATATACGTTGCCTGTGTTTTTGTTATCCGTTAGAGTTGAAAGTCGCTTGGCATTCAAGAGTGAATGGATTAAAGTAGGAAGCAAAAGTACAGGTAAAATCAGGCATGATATATAAAAAATAGTCACGAAGGACAATTATTTTATATATATATTTATTTTTTCACTGAAATAAGCACCCATTTATGTCCAGGAGGTTAGAGAAATCTATTCAGAGTAAAGTTTACCCAAGGAAACAACAGTAAGTCTTGGTTATTCAAGTAGAAGTGCTATTCATATGTAAACTTAAACTTACTGCAAAAAGTTTGTGATATAATTCCGGCTACAGGGTGACCAATCAAATGCTGTGATTTTACCGCTGGCCCTAGTTGCCATGATGTAAACACCATCCCTACACTTGTTACCTTCAGCATCATGTTCAGCCCCCAAACTGTAAAAAAACAAAAAATATACGATTATTGGAGATAATCTGACTCCAGAAAGACGACGAAAATGTTTGTCCAACGGTGTTGGAGGAAATGATTTGGACAAGTTGGGGAAAAATTTTGGTGGGGGACAGCCACTAACTGAGAAGTTCCTCGCCCCATTCTTCTCGGCGCTGGCGGCTCCCCTGCCAAAATTTATCTCAAACTCGCACGAGTGAGCATGATTGCAGGGTAGGAAATGATCAATTGCTCATCATTCTTACTTATGAGCTGTCTCGTGAGCCAGAGTGAATGCAGTTCCCAATCCAGTATCTTTGTTGAGGGTGCAGCTTGTGTCCCTCTGACACATTCCCTTCAAGTCAGCCAAGCCTAAACAACGTAACACAAAAAAGAAAAATTACTTGCTACATGTAGTAGTATTCAGGTTAGGATATATTGTTCCAAGATATATTGCAGTTTGCAACAGCAGAAGTACTTGAAAAACATTTTTCTTTTTCTGGACAGGGAACAGGATGAGACAAGAGGAAAAGGCGTAAAAAGAAGGGCGTAAAAGTATGATATTTATCAGCACTTTTGAGCGATTGAACGTGAAACTACCGAGAGAGATATCCAGTTCAACCCCGTGCGCTGTAAACTCGTCCTCGCTGCCTCCCTTCGTTTTAATCAGTTGGTTCATTGATACCCGGTGGACTACTTATCCAATCTGATACCTTTTGCTTGGGTTTAATTATTACACTGGATGTAAACGCTTGTTGCCGTTCTATAAGATTAATGGCCAAAAGTTTTGACTTCGCCCATAAATGATTCAATACTGTAGACTGCAAAGCGGTCGTACTTTTGATCTGGTCATTATACTCATGTACTCGGCATCCGAGCTTTTTTCGTGGTAAAAGGTTCACGCGTGGGAAACCACACGTCTTGCGAGTAGCGATCTAAATTTTGACAGAAAATATGATGTCTTGATGTGAAGGGAAATGAAAGAATCAAATAAAGTAATAAAATCCATAGCAACTCAAACTAGCTAAGGGCTAATCGTTTGCGCAATACCAAGACAGAAAAATTCCGCAGTTTTTCAGTTGACAGCCAGATGTAGTTTTCCTTTTATAAAGTGAAGGGCTTGATGTTAAATTGACAGATGACTTACCTAGTATAGTTCCACAATCTGCTGCCTGCCCGTTACCTTTGCCTCTACAAAAATTTAACCTACAGAAGAAGAATTTTTTTACTTAGCCTCAAATAAATGATCTGAGCCTCTAGCCTCCCACGCGAGCGTTTTTATGAGAGCTCGTATCTCTTCCCTCCCCACAAAAGAACGAAATACGAGCTCCCCTAAAAACGCTTGCGATAGACACCTGTATATGATGGACCGTTTCGTTTATCCCGACGAAAAGCTCATTTGTTTTGTCTAAAATTAACCTGGTTAATACGGACACTGGTTAATACGGATCTGAATTATGACGGGACTCAGTGCATCGCAGATTGTCAACGTTCAGTCAAGGAAAGACTGAGAACGTAAGGCTGAGCAGATTGCCGAAAATCCCTTCAATGCTAACATATTGGAATTGACGTCAATTTGGACATACAGCTCATGAACAACACGGCTTTTTAAATTAGCTGATATTGGTGAATCAATCGATTACTCTGTCCAACCGGAAGCTAACCCGAGCATAATCTCACAGATACATTTTCCAGCTGCCAAATAAAATTCCACTGCAGAGCTTGGTGCTACAACCCCGGACAAAACCTGTTGAGACAAATGGCAAAAATGCCTATTTTTTCCTGTCATCCCGGCAAAAACTGAAGCCTCCGCCAAATGAATGCCCGATTTCCCCCCTCCCCTTATCCAAAGTTGTTTAGGATAGCATGGCAGTTATACACGTTGGTTTTTAGACCAAGGCAACTTTGAATAGGGGGTGGGGAGGGGGTTTACTTTTTGTGTTTAGGGGAGACGGGAGTAGGGCGCAAAAGTTAGAAAATAGATGGAATTGTCTCAACAGTTTTGTCCGGGGTTGTAGCTAGAGTATACTAAATACTAGAATACCTCTCCCTGATTGTTAACCTCTTCTTTCCTAAAATTCAGTTTGCAAGAATTAAGATAAAGTTGCATCTTACTTGGAAAAAAGGGCAGCATGGTCGAAGTGCTTTGGGTTTTTGTCATCTGGCTCATTTTGCCCTGTGGTCCATTTACAGAAACTTGACAGAGTACTAGCTGCATGCGTGTTTATCTCAAGGTTGTTCTAGAGAAAGACAAATAAATCAAAACAGAATTTATGAGTTTAAGGACTGCCTTCTAAGATCTCGGAAATTAAGACCACCCCGTATGTTTTAAAATCGTCAATCGAAGTCCCGCTGTGTGATCCGTGGTGGTGTAGAGGGAAACTCGTCCCCAGGGCTTTTCTTTTTCCTTAGGAAATGGAAGGGGGAAATTCCTGGGGACTGGGTTGTGTAGAAGGCTATAAGCGACGCTACTCAGTAATTTTTCTGTGGGCTTGGTGGAGTATATCTACCCAATCTTCAATATCAGATGTACTGTTGAAGACAGGAAATACATATAAAATTCTGACGCTACAACGGCAGTAATTAACAAACAATTCGTGAACTTTTCTCCTGCAACAGTGAGCTTGTTCACCGTTTGCCTAGCTCTAGATCTCATTATTCCGCACGGCCTATGCGTTTTGGTCCACGTGGTCCAAGTCTCGGATACGTCACCGAAATACATTAACCGAGACGACGCCGTATAGGGACTAGGAAAGTTCACTGTTACATTTGCGCGTGGTTGCTGATCATGGTCCAGTCCCAGATGCAGGTGGGGTAACAAATTCTATTTGACGTTTTTGTGTTCAGTTATGTAGACCCTTGCGAACGTCTGGATAAAACAAATCAATAAAAATGCCCAACAAAACGATTCTGAAACCCTTGTTTCACAGTTCCGAAGTCAAAGCAGCATTCACCCTAAATTGTTATACTAATAATTTCTCTCTTCCCTGACACGTTCATTCATTTGAAAAATTTTTCTCTCCCAGTCTATATTTTTCAAGACCTACCATGTCTTGTTGGAGAATCAGTAGTTTTTGGATAATGTACTTGATATCCGCTCCAATAGAAGCATCTGATAGTAATCCATGCGCCTGAAGAAAAAAAAAGGTAAAGAGTCATTCTGAATATCCTCATTAATTAGATCTGCGAAAAATGGCTCTTGGTTTGTGACACTGAGGGCATTTAATGATCTATGTCATATCGGCAGCGAGTGTGTCGCACATTTCGACAGGCTTAAGAATTGTGTCGGGTTTGGTATGTTATATTGAAAAAGTCCTCATAATGTCCCATTTTTCCTTAAACTATACGAATATGTTACTTCAAGGGACCGTTAAATGGACTCATTGCTATCTATAGCCCGATAAAGGCGCATGGGAATGTTGGGCAAAATCCCACCCAAATCTGAGTAATATTTGATCAAAGTTCAAAAGGCATGTTTGCTTATCAAAATCAGTTACTAGACTGAACATGCGCACGCCCTACACTTGTTGCCAAAACTGTCCAAACGTTACCAGTGTGATGCAAGCTCGTCAACTGCAACAAAGTTTTAGATGATTTTGGATAAAACGTTTGAAATTAAAACAGATTTAATCCCACCTAACACTGTCTAGCGAGGTGATCAAACAGATCTAATAAATTTCGTCCAAAATGTTCAATTCAATGAAGTTGATCAAACGTGATCGTTTCGTTTGAATAGGGCCTATATCATCTCTCAGGGGCACCCAACGAGAATATAGTTCAAAACCACTTATTAAAACATCAGCATTGTTAAACGTATTTTAGTCTTTAAACGGTAGATAAAGGCATATTTTTATCCCCTAAAAGTGTTTCATCTGTTCGGATTTCGTAGCTGAAAGTCTAGCGATCCGAAAATTATAGGAATCAAAACTTACCTTTTCGAAAATTTCAGCCAGAGAAAAGGCTCCCGAAAATTCTAGATGACCCTTTTTAGGGTAAAAATCGGTTAAAAATGGGCAACTATACCATTTTTTAGATGTTCAAAAATCCTAGGAGAGGCAGGCAAGCAAGAAATTTGACAACAAATGCACCGAAAATTCTAGATCTCAAATCGTCTTCCGAACAGTTATTTTCCGAAAATTGACGTTGGGTGCTCCTGATCTCTTGATACATTTGTAAATGTTTGCATAGCTAGGTTATGGGTTATACCATGTTGACAATAGTGGGAACGTATTTCTTTATCTGATTGATTCCATAAAACTTCGTCATGATTTTCTCTACGACAATCAAGGATTCAATGGTTCGTTTACGGTTCAATGATGAACGAGGATAATTCATGTGTGATTCGTTTTCGTCGGACTGCTGAAGTGCTGAGTGGCCTGAAAATTTGAAGCAAAGAAAAGAAGCAAGTTGTGCAAAAACAATGAAGGGCTTTGCTAGTTATCATCGCCGAATGGGAACGTAAATTAATTTTGCTTAAGTAGCATTTATCGTTAATATACAGCGACAATTGCTACTTACTTCATATAGTTAATATTCATTGTGGCTGTTTTCCTGATGACAATCTGTACCCGGATATATAGTAGGGGCTATGTTTTAAAATTTTTAATCTAGTAGCAATATTAAACCCATTTTCTCGCGTTTTTATTTGCTGTACGCTCTATGCGAATTGTTAATTGGTCAGTTAGCTTATGTTAGTATGGCCTTGCCAGATTAGCCACACATGCGGTGCTTTAAACAACTTAACAAAGAGATGATTTAGTTGAGCTGTTAACTTGAAATTCCCGATGAAGGCCACTTAGTTCTCAAATGAAACATTGTTTTTTAAAAAAATTAGGAAAAATGATGTCCAGCGAGCAAAATCTCTTTCAAGGCATGCGAAAAACTTTCAGCCAATTAACTGATTTACTCGAGATGGTCGTCAGTCAAAGCTCTCCAACTTGCTCAAGAGGATGAATGTTTTAATCATTCAAAAAATACCTTGTACTCCACACCAGCCGGCAGATCTTTTCTCGTCTTGCATGGCCCTTCTGAGAGTCTTTTGTGGGGCTAAGGATCTTTTATGGATCACGTGGGCTCGTGTTTTGTTTTTCTCCAGTCCCAGTCGGTCAGGCAGTGGATGTACCATCAAAACGTCCTCTGGAGTGCGAATTAATCCTTGCTGCGTGTATTCATTGTTATAAAAACAGACAGAAAAGAAAAATTGAGAAAAATTCTTCCAGAATTATTTCTATATCAGTTGAAATTACCGTATTTATTCGAATAAGCGTCCAACCTCGAATTAGCGCCCACTTCGAATAAGCGCCCAGCCTCGAATAAGCGCCCACCCCCACCCGACCCCTCTTCATCCTCCCAACCCCCCCCAAAATATTAATAAGTACTCAAGAGACTTCCCCAAAGGCGGAGTTTTCTTCAGAGTTTTTTACAGAAACCTTGCTTTGTTACATCTTCGCGTTTTGTTACTACCATTTATTGTTTTGTAGCGAAATAAATATACTACACTTGCTGAAAATGGTGAAAATTAAAGACGGAATCCACCAGGCAATCGACTAATTTTAACTATCAGTGGACAAAAACCTTGTACCAGAATAATTTAAAGCATATTGCATTCTTTTTTACATTTTTCAGGGGTTAAAGATGTAATTAGCCATCTCTATAATAACACAAAAGACCATTTTCCTATGGGAGCCAGAGAAAATAAAGGTCAAATTTCATAAAATTACCTGTTACACATAAAATTTCCAGAATTTTGCCTGTGTTTTCACAATTTTTGTGAAATTTGACATTAATTTTCTCGGACTCCCATGAGAAATTTTCTTTGGTGTTATTACAGATGACTACTTACATCTTTAGCCCTTGAAAAATGCAAAAGAGAATGCAATATTCTTTAAATTATTCTGGTACAAGGTTTTTGTCCTCTCAGAAATAAAATTACTCAATTTCCTTGTGGATTCCGTCTTAATAAGCGCCCATCCTTGAATAAGGGCCCACTCCCAAGGTCCAAAAATTTAATAAGCGCCCAGGGCGGTTAGTTGAATAAATACGGTAAACTTTTACGTCCATTCTTATCTGGCTTCCTAGTCAGCTCCTATTTATTTACGTTCTTTTTTTCATTTGAATTTGTATAGAATACTTTGTGCTGGAAACTTCAGAAAAGCCGTTATCCTCGTGCACCGGTCCTGAGTGAGCCGAAGGGACTCCTATATGGGATGTTCGTCGTCTTGATGAAAGGTAGAAATTGCAGATTAATTTGAGGATCACTTCAGTCGTTCAGGAAAAAAAAAGGATGCACGTTTCTCGACATTAGGAATTTTTAATCAGGTAACGCATGACCGTGACAAATCCGTGAGAGATGCAGCCATTACAACATTTCTAATACGTAACTAGTAAATTATCGCGGTTTTAATCTCCTGGGACTTGCGCATTATTTTTTTAGGGCATGGTAGGCGTTAACGTTGCGGTTGTTTTACGGATAGCTCAGGGCATTGTATTAAACTCCTCTCAACCCACATCTCTCGATATATTAACGACATATAGCTTACCAGTCCATCGCAGTTGCTAAGTGCTACTTTGTTTCTTTTTCCTTCAGGAGAAATTAGCTGCCCAATGTAATGGCAGTGTTCAATGTCATAATGAAATTCTGAGCTGTTTCCTCGAATCTCTACCTCAAAATGGGACGAGAATAACTGATGATTCAGTGTGACATTCAAGTGGAAATCTTGCCCAAAAGCTGAGAGTTTAAAGTATACAGGCTCTTGGACAGAACTTCCTACATCTCTCTTTCGACGAGCATTGCCATTTGCTAGGTCACGTGATAAGAACCTGCCGCTTTCATCAACTTGAACAGGATGAGATATGTCGTACTCTGGAACTGTGTGTAAAACATACCAACAAGGAAAAATGAGATGTTTTTAAAAAGCCCTTGGTGCTGTCAGTATAGCAGGCAAATAAACAAACCAACTGACAGCAAGAGGTTATATATATGGGGTCCTGTTGATAGCTAGAAGCAGGCAATTTTTTTGGCTTGTGAAGGCACGAAAATGCACGCGGTTTGCCAGGCTATTTAAAGTCAAGGGGACGAGTAGAAGTACTTTAGTAGGTTTAATCTCTGAGAGGAAAAAAGTCGCCTTGTTAGCAAGTCTAGCAGACAAGTAAAGAAAAGTCGAAAGCGTTTTTAGGAGATGAAAATAGCTATCCTTTTTCAGACATCACTCGTTCCTGATAGGTCAGTCAAAAAGCGGGAAAACGCACAAAGCTTCGATTTGGTGGATGCGCGAATGAAAGTAATTGGTGGTGGAATATCTAGGGCCCCGTCCACAAGTATCCGGATACTTTTGAATCCACAAATTTCTTTTTGCGGATTCAAAAATTTCCACGCCCACACGTTCAAATCGAATTTGTCCACCCACGCTCACTCTCAGTTCGTCAGCTAATTTGAAAAGTGATCTTCTGCTGATGCGAAAGTTTTCTCGCCATCATTCTCCGGCTGACATGGAAAAAAGCCTCAGAATGTCGAGCAGCCGGTCGGGAATAACTAAAAGTACAGGAATGCACACGCGTTTATAAGACATGAAACTGAATTCCATGAAGTATTAAAGAAGCAATTATTGCGCTTGGCACCATCACGGTAAGGAACTGGGCCAGATCTTGTTACGTCCCTGGATAAGAAACTACCCGGGATTGGCGTCTACACGGTTCCGGTTTCATAGAATAATTAAAAATTTCCACTCTGGAGCGGAGATGGATTAAAAACATTGCGGATTCGTATACCGGACTCACCTGATGGCGTGTGGACGGAAGCCCAATCCACAAAGAGAAAGTTGCGTATTAAAAAATATCCGTGTGTATGTGGACGGGGCTTAGGTAGCAATTTTCCAGTGTCTGATACCTTGTCTGGAATGTTTGTTGGATCATGGAAAAATGATAAAACAAGCTGTTGACAATTCATAGCAGCAGGAGTTCATACCAGAAACAAACAGACCTGAACAAATCTTGATTTGTTTACTATTTTCATTTCATGAGGCGTATAATTGCATAAGAAGATATCAAGCTTTATTGCATGCACGCCTCAATGCGTTATTTTAAATTTGTGATTAGACTGAAATACCTATGATCATACTATTTCAAAACCTTAACGGTTATTGTCGGGCCTGGAAAACTACCTTAGGATATGAAAGGAAGTTACATCTTTTTTGTTAAAAAATTCGTCAAACTGCGACCCTTAAATTAAAGCAAGGGTTCATGTCGTTGATGCTTATGTGTTTTTTTCCAGTGTTTTAGGTATTAACCCCACACATGTTATTTCCAGGATTGAAAAATGGACAAGAGCCAACTGCTACGAAGGATGATCTTCTAAAAATCGTGTCGAATGACCCCTAGTTGACTTATGTTATTTGTATTCTAAGCTTATTGTAAGAAGTGCTCAAACATATAAATAACTTTTATGTCCGTCATTGCTTATTATATGAATGAATAATTTACCGATTCAAGATTTGACCGTTAACTGAATTTCGAATAACAAAACAAAACGGCATAAACAAGACGAATCTCTATTTTGGAATGAATGATAGAGTTGGGATGCAATGGAAAAATGAGCTTATCCCAGTTTCTAAGATAGCTCTTTTCTTAAATCTAAAGGAAAAATAGTTCTGATCATCAGCTTGACCGGAGAAATACGCGAAGGTCGGATAGCTTTTCCTATTTAACTTATTGTCCAAACCGGTACAAATAAGCTATAAAGACATTATTATTTTTCTATTTAAATGTAGACGAAAACTCTAAAATTCATTTCATTTATAGCTTAGCATAGCTTTAATTGAAATCATTTTCTTACCATACTCTGGAAATGGGTGGCCAAAAATCAACTCTCTCTCGTCGTCGGTTAACAAATGGTGGATTTCCTAGGCACAGAAAAAATGGCTAGTTTGTAAACATGAAATCATGAAATTGTTAAAAGCTATCCTTTACAATATTGAAAATAAATATTTTACCTGATATGATCTAGCCCAAGAGTAGCCAATGTAAAAAATTAAGAGGATCGAAACTATAGAAACCGCAGGCCGACTTAAACTCTTCATCGTGTAAGTGAGACCGAACGAACTTTGTTCTTGACTGAGTTAAGTCGCAAATGATATTCCGTGAGATGGGTGACGTTCCTTATACAGACGGGCGTAAAGGTTTCTGGAACCAGCCCGCTGTGTTGTCTGAGCCAATGTGTTCAGGTTTATTTTAGTTTTCTCGGATGGCTGAGTTCTCATTGTCTGCCTCTAATTTATCTCCCAAAAAAGCGCGCATCTTTTAAACGGTTCAAAACGTTCCTGAAAAACTGGCGTCGCTGCTTTAGCTCACTATTGACTTATTGAGCTGAAACGGTCTGATGCTTCCGACGATAAATGAAAATAAAATTTCTTTGAATTCTATACAATAGGCGGTAGAGACCGTTATACTCTAGTTAGGCGAGCCTTAATCCTTGTGTTAAGGAATTATTTGCATGTTAGTCTACGGCTGTTTGGAACATTCCTAGTGAAAAAGGATCTAGGTCAGTGACCCTTTAGTTTTGATCGCAAAGTAAAAAAACTTTAATTTGGTTATTCAATAGTTCAGCTCAGTGGCGGTAGTCATTCCGTTGCAATTGATCCGTTTAACCTTCAGCCATCCTTGAAAAGCATAAGGTTAACTATTTAATTAATTTTAGACGATTTTTCAAAGAGTCGTCCAGTCACACAAAAATCTTCTAAATGACTCGGCCATTTCAATAAGTCTAAGATCTTTGGAGTGTTTTGTTAAAACTGATCCGGCCTCTCATTTTTTTGTAAGTTTGGTCAGTTTTCATGTTTCGGCTCCAAAGATTTGGTTATTAGACGTATCCCGCGAAACTCAGGAAAACTCCTTTTGTTTATCTTGATGTATTGCTAAACCTTTAATATTTTAAGCTCAATTTGGGCCCCAAATAAGGCGTAGCGGCCTACTATGGCCCGCACTGAGGGAATGAATTGTGCGTTATTGCTGGGAAGCCTGGTGTTAAGAAGAGGGTCTCAATGGGGTAGTGGCTTTTACGGTTATCGGCTAAAATTTTGGCTCTTTTACGGCTATCGGTTAATTTTTTTCAGTTACGGTTAACAAAAAAGTTAAGAATTCTTTTGTTTCCAAAAGTTAAAATATCAATTAACCTGTTTTTTTTTGTATCTTTAAAGCAACATAAAGGTCTTAGGATCATCTCGGGATGAAATAAGCTATCCTTTTGAAAACTTTTAACATTTGATAGATCATACTTTTTATAAAGTATTCCACCTGTAACATTTTTTTACACATAGAAATGTCGATAGTCAATTTAAAAATAATCTTTGTGAAAAAGCAAAGCACCCACGCGAACGCCCAACTCAAGGCCGGGGCGCGACATTCATTACAACAGAAATGGCCGTTTTCACACTAGAGACGGATTATTCGTGTGAGATGGGTATCCGTTTGATGATTCGCGTCACATAGGTAATACGTCTTAATTTGAAAATGGAATAGTTTTAATTTTGAATGAACAATCCGCCTGACTTTATCAGTCAATTTCGACGGACAGTTTGGAGACGGGATTATCCGTTCCAGATAGCCTGTGTACAGCCGCCCCCTCCCCTCAGAAAAAATCGGAGAAGGGGTGTCTATCGGGAAGGTGGCGACTGTACACAGGCTAGTCTTGGACAGATAATCCATTTCTAGCTCTATTTGAAAACGGCCAATAACAAAATTCCCGTGTCCAGTGTTTTTAATGATAGCGAAGGACTGCCGGAGCGACTGTCAGCTGTTGCCTTGTCCGTAGGCCTCATTATTTCGCGCGGCTAATACGTTTCGGGTCACGTGGTCCGAGCGAGTTCGCCACCGAAATGCTTCGAACAAGATTGCTTGGGAAGACGTCGTACAGGGACTAGGCCTGGCAATGTCTACCGTAGCGTCAGAGAAAAACAGGGAAATGTTGTTTATCGGCAACGTGTTTTACAAACAGTGACATCTCTGCGTGTTGTTTCACTAGTGTTTCGAGGACACGACCTCCTCAAAATCGCAAATATTGATTCCCAGCAAGAGACCACACTTTCGCTCTGGAAAAAAAATTAGTTCCCCGCGAGAGTGGCGGAAATGGAGCCTAGGTCTTGGTCAACACCTAAAAGGCGCTTTACCGAACGTGCGTACGGAGTCACACTAGCCGGGAAATAAAAAAACGCAACGGCATAAGTGAGTTTAGTACCTTCCTTAACTGAGTAGCAAAACTAGGCAACAATTTCTTTACGGTTCTCTTTTTTACCCTATTTACGGCTAACGGTTAAAATTTTTCAATTTTTACGGCTATCGACTAAATTTTTTACGCCTATCGGTTAACCTCATTGAGACCTTCTAAGAACAGAGACAGAAAAATATCACAATTTGTCTCGTTTCTCTCGACCCTCTTGCGTGTCTCGCTCTTGGCGTTAGAGCTCCAAAGCCCGCCTGAGCTCTCCCACAACGCCAGTTGTTCAGTGCTTTAGTTTTACATTGTCGCCGATACGTCTTTGAGCTAGAGAAAGGTTTTACCGCCACGCTCACGGGTAGCGCAATTAATTCATTCTAAGCAGCGACGCCCACTGGGGCTTATTTCTGGCTTAGTAGCCACTCCTCTGCCACAGCAGTACTCTTAGCTGTACTCAGCAGCTTTGACGACCCTCCCACTGGCTGCGCTATATATCCTTCGTCAACTGTCCACAATGTGAAAAAGGAGATCAAATCCGAAAAGAAAAGAAATTCAACAAATTTGTAAAAAAAGTATGTCATATAAACTAAGCAGCGTGTTGCGTGGCCATGAGCTAGACGTTAGAGCTGTTTGTCCTGCAGTTTTTCCTGAAGGAGGAATTATAACAGCGTCACGGGACAGAACTGCTCGCCTGTGGGTTCCTTGTGGAGACAAACTTGGTTTTGAAGAGGGCCATGTTCTTAGTGGTCACAGTAATTTTATTTCTGCGGTTTGTACGATTCCTCCCACGGACAAATTCCAGCAGGGTATGTTAATCTTGGTATATAAGTAGTTCACGCACTGCTTACAGTCTGCGAACATAGTTAATAGAGTGGAATGGCTGTTAATATTGAACATAGGAAAAAGTTAAGCTTAATGTTAAAAGGAATTTTAACATATCACCGGCAATTTCGTAGAACAATGTGAGGTTCGACAAAAATAAAGGAAAAGTACTTAGTGATATTATGTTTTTTGTGTATAATCTAACAGGAGAGGGTTTTTTCAATATGGCTGAATAAATTAGACAGTACATAGTGAAACCTGGGTGATTTTCTACTGACATTGTTATAGAAATTATGTATGATTAGGAAAGGTAAGCTTAGTGATAGGTAGAGTATTAAGTGATGGATGGGTTAAGTCTCCTCTGGAAAAATATTCTATGTTTGAGTACCCTTGGTTAATGAATTATGATCAGGGCTATCACTTAGTTAGGGTGAGAGGCTGGGAATTTCCCCTGGCTTCTACAGTTGTATGGCATGCCCCCCCCACTACTTTAATAGGAAACAAAAGGAAAACAGAACGAACACAACTTCTTAGCCGTTCAATTCCACACTGCAATTTTTTTTTACCTGGCCGAGTTTATTGCAAAATGAAAACAAAATACCAACGTGCCCATACATCGCATGTCATTGAAAACATTTCAGACAGCTCAACAAATCATTCTAAGTTTCAATCTGGTAGCAAAAAGCCTCGGGAAATTTCAAAGGAGGTTCAAATGATTAAACTGCAAAAATATGCATCTACAAAGTGAAACTGAATCAACAGTAATTTTGTAGCTGGACTGGTAAGAGAAATGATCATTCTGATTTCCCCCCTAAATACATGACTTGAGGGTGAGAGATCGTCGTTCGGCGCTTCACAGATTTCAGCCAAAGATGAAAGTCGCCAATTACATACAGTCTACGTATAAAATTTTATGCTCAGTTTCCAAAATTTTGTGTGTATTTTTTTGACACGCCTGTTTTGTGCTTGTATTTCTTTTGTAATTTGCGTGCAATATGGGGGATTTACAGGCAAGAAACACGCATGTAATGCTGCAATTCCCATGGCCTGTGCTGTACTTATTGTATGCATGTATACCCCGCACTTTGAAAACTTAGTGAGGGCCCTGATGATAGAACACCATTTTGATGTTATAAGAAATAGTGTAAGCAACATTACAGAGAATTTTGATAAAAATAATATTTTAATACTTATTTGTCCAAGTTAATGGGTGGATATGATCAAACTTACAACTGAAGGGGTTATGGAAAACCTTCATGCTCACCATATCTACTACGGCATAATAATTATAAAACCGGCCCATACTGTGTCAATGAATAACCCCAATCACCAACAACCTTAGTGCTATCTTAAACAGTCATAGAAAATTGAAACAATCATTCCATGGTCCATCAATAGAGAGTTTAAGATACAACAACAGTGACAGTGGCAAGAATGTCTCTTAAAAATGACTTCATGCTCTTTGAAACTTCAGTGTAAAAAAAAATTATCCCAACTCACTTTGTGAAGTTTAGGCAAACTCTCCTGGAGTTGAATTCTTAAGGAAATATGCAAGTTCAAAAAGAGAAGAGAAAGTTGTTGTCGTTTGTTTATTGCTTTTAGGATGTTTCCTCTGCTGTCGGCTTTGTGAGATCTTAAAATCCCTAAAATCAAGTGATTCTTGTGACACCTACTAAAAAACAGACGTTTTAATCCCCATGTGTTTTTTCTGTGGTTCTGTTTACGATCTGGCATTGTGTAGTGCTACATGTACTAAATAAATTATTTTCCCAGGGCTCATAGTTACTGGTGGTCATGACAATCTTATTCTTGTGTGGACTTTGGATACTCTTGGTAAGTTTTATAAAAACGTTGTTTGTTTGTTTGCCAAAGTTCACTTAATTAAGGCAGGAGTAGTTTACCGTGAACGGTGATGCAACCCCCCCCCAAGGGGTACCCCCTTATTTGGCCAAGGTGCGTATGTGCCAATAAACAGGGTACATTGTATGGTTATGACTCTTAAACAGGGTATACAGTCTCTGTGCAAACTATTAATTTTTGTGTCTTGAACACGGTGTCTTTTTGAACCGGAGGCCTTATAAAGAGCGTGAAGGTTGGCAATGCAGGATCTAAATGAGTGGTAGCCACAATATATTGCAAAAAACTCTAATTCAATGATGTTAGTGCAAAAGGAAATGAATCAGACTTTTGAAAGGAGGTCTCTTGACTTATAAAGAGCGTGAAGGTTGGCAATGCAGGATCTAAATGAGTGGTAGCCACAATATATTGCAAAAAACTCTAATTCAATGATGTTAGTGCAAAAGGAAATGAATCAGACTTTTGAAAGGAGGTCTCTTGCCTTAGACAGGGTAGTGAAACTGAACATTTTTTGTGTTAATTAGGCTGAGGGTTTGAAGGGCTTGGCGGTGCACCTCTACAGAAACTTCCCTTGAGTGCTCCCCCCCCCCCCTCCACAGGATGCAACCTCAGGGACTGCACTTTTGGATTTTTCTTTCTCTTAGAAGAGACATGAATTAGATAATTACATTAAATTTGTACTGGAAAAAATCTATGATGCATTTTCTTTTACCCCCAAAAGTCCTGGGCACAGTCTATACAAGTTAACCTGTTGTAGGTAAAATCTGTTCTCATGTTAAATGATTATGACTTAAGTCTAGGAAGCAGTGAAAATTCCTAATGAAATTAGGCTCATTATTGGTTTAGCCTGAAAACAGCGTTTGCCTACAACATACCCTGACAAACACAGTAACCCTTAAATCCCAAAGTTTGATGTCAACCCATGTATCTTTTGCAACCCCCAATTTTTTTGATCGAAAAATTCTTCGGGGCCTTCTTAAGGAGATTACTCAGTGTTATCCCGTGAGAATGCAATAACAGTTATTACAGTGGAACCCTGCCTTACAACCACCCTGTTAATACCACCACCTCGTTATCACAACCATATTCTTTTGACCCTAACTTTAGAAACACTGGTCATTTTATTATTTTGAAGATATGGTTAATTATTACAAACAAGTTTTTATCCCCAACAGTGGTCACATCAACAGGGTTGCACTGCATATTAAAGCATATTTATACTAACTGACAACTTGTTGTTCAAAATGGCTTACAAGAAAACAAGGAAATGGAAAAAAATTTAAATTTAATTTCTACAATGCTTCTGATGTCTGTTTAAAGAAGAAAGGTGCTTGCAGTCCACTTTTTTCAAATCATTAATTAGCACAAAAATATTCGAATTCTAAATGGCTGATAAACAGCAAAGTTAAGAGATTATATGCAAGCTGCTGAAATAATTAAAAAAATGGATTGGTGTGTTTACTCATTTTATCTCACTTCCACAAAAAACCAGCTCCAAAAATCTCACTGAAAGGCTGGTTATTAATGTAAGAAAACATCTTTCATTCCTGCAGAACCAGTGCACAGATTAGAAGGTCACACCGGAGCTGTTTGTTCCTTGATTGCTGGAAAGTTTGGGACACTTCTTTCTGGATCTTGGGACAAGTAGGAAATAAGACTTTTTTTTTTACAATCTTTAGCTAATTTACACAGTAGTCTTGTGCTTTGCTTAGTTTACTACATAACTATGTAGTCTGAAATGTTAGCTGTGTCCACCCCCTAACCCATTAAGCGCACCTCCTACGGGTTAGGGGGGGAGGGAGACAGCTGACATTTCAGACTACATAATAAATTATGGTTCGCTCCTTTGTTGTTTGGGATAATGTGATTTTCAAGGAGTTAATAGTATTATGTACTAATAATAATTTTTCAGATGGATACAGTAATATCATTTGAGGCCAGTTGTAAAAAATCATATACTGTCAGTACTGTATGTTAACAGAGAGACCATACTTTTATGAGTAACGTGCATTTTTTCTCAAACAAGGAGTTTAATAATGTTAGTAGGCATTAAGAAGGACATGGTGGCTTGTACGTGTACATGTGTATATTCCGCTGAGCATTCACGTTGCATTTATTTTATTTTTTATTTGTTTTATGCTGCAACGCGGTTTTTTGAGAATTAATATGACTGTAAAGTCTGCCGGGCCCTTATTTGATTGTGTCCCTTCTTCTTTTGCATGTTTATTTTACAGAACAGCGTGTGTGTGGATAGGAAGCAAATGTATGATGAAACTTCAAGGTCATGAAGCTGCTGTTTGGGCTGTTCAAATGATGCCAGAGCATGGCCTGATGCTTACAGGTACATTAATTGTACACATCACAGCAGTACCACTGCTTGACAAACCTTAATATCGTCGATGTGCAGTAGGCACTGTTCACATGGCAGCAGATGCATTAGTTTATTTTATTAACAAAGAAATTTTCTTGACCTACATAATATGTGAAGTTACCTTCGGGAGGTCTAAACAAAAAAGGGTGAAGAGTTAAGCAAAAAAGGTTTCAACTGAGGTGTTCCCTTATGAAAGGCAGCAGATTGAGGTTTCGACTGCAAATTTGTCTTTCTTTGCCAGGTTCTGCTGATAAGACAATAAAAATGTGGAAAGCTGGAACATGTCAGAGGACCTTCACTGGACACACGGACTGTGTTAGAAGCCTGGCTATACTCTCTGCTGTTGAGTTCTTATCATCTTCTAACGATAGGTACATGTACATTTAGCTTACATTTTTCAAGTATAGTATAAGCCCACCCTAAGTCAGCCAGCTAAAATTTGTCGTATTGCAAATTGTTTTTTACATGATTTAACATTTTTATGACCAGATTCCTAGAAAACTAGTTGGTTACATATGGTATACAGATGATGATCAATGTCCAACTGAGCTCAACCTGCCATGCATTTTGTCATGATTTTAATTGCAGTGGTTATGAGAATTGGATTACCCTGTCAGCTACTTTAGCAGCTACATGTCCTATAAAAGAGTCTCTCAAACTCCTTTGTTGAGGTGCTGGTTATAGGTTTTGAGGTGTTTAACTATAAGTTGAAACTCAACACCTGAGCCTGAATTCTTGAAACCTTAAAGGAATCATTTTTATGGGTACACTGTAATGTTGTGAGTTAGCTGAGTAGTCTCTCAACTTACCTTAAAGTAGTACTGGGACATAGTCAAACATGTACACCATACATTTGTATTAACATGGTTGTAGATATCATACAGATAATTGTCCACTTGTTGGCTGTCCACTGTAAATAATATTATTAATTTTCTAATAATTGCATGTAGCACCATTCGAAGATGGATGAGCACGGGAGAATGTCTTCAAGTGTATACAGGGCATACTAGCTTTATTTACAGGTACGAGAAGGGTTATATACCATTTTAGGTAACTTCCAACTAGAAAAATGGTAAGCATAATGTTGTGATCTGACATATCAAGGCCAGTCTTGAGCCATCTCACTCTTCAGGTTATTAGTACAGAGCAAGGTCATCTATTAACTGTTCGATATCTCCTTTTCTAACAGACTGTGGTGTTAGTTAGTTACACTGTGGACTTGAAGTTAAAGGAAGTTAAAGCCCTGTCATAACATTGATCATTTGCTCAGACAAGAAACTTTGCTTCACTTTGTTCCTGTCACCCTGAGCTGTATAAATCGCTACTGGCGATGTACGTTTGTGGATGGATGGCACTCTATCCAGGGGTGAAGTAGCAATACGTCTAAGTGCTTCGTGCTACTGAAACAGTGATAAGCTCATGTTCACTTGACTGAGTTTGGGGAAAATTTTGACGGGGAGCTGACAGTGCGAGCTCAGGAGAAGAATGTGGTTTCTCCCCCCTGCTGGTGCTTCACTGCCAAAATGTTCTCTGAACTCACATAACTGAGCATGCATACAGGCTATGATGAGCTGTGGCCATATTGGCCTCACTGGCCCTAATAAAGCCTTTACCTATTTTTACATGATTGTATTTCACGTGTTTTCTGTCTTCTTTCATTAGTATTGCAGCTCTTCCTGATGAAGGTGGCAATTTTGTTTCTGTTGGAGAAGACAGAACATTACGAATATGGAAAGGTATAATTATCATCCTCAGTTGGAATTTGTGTTTCACTGTAAAGTCAGACATGGACAAATTGATTGTCTTTTCGACTTTGAATTTCAGTCACCGGTAGCTTGAAATCGGTCTTGAAATAGTTTGACTAGCCAAATGGTATCCTTTGACTGGATTAAGATTTCGATTTCGATTCGTCAATTTTTGGCCTGTTAACCGCAATAGCGTGAAGACAGGTACTGCAGCCCCGTGAGAGCTTGACCACACCATCGGGGTCTCTACGCTTACATCGGATTATTTAGCATCCAATGACGCGATCGTCAGAAGTATCATGTTTCCACCTTTTTTATAGGCGTATTAGCAGGCGTTTCTTGAGGGATACTATTCTTAATGAGACTTGATGCTTGTTTTTGTAAGACCCTGGTTTTGCCGGTGTTTGAACCAGCGACCTCCCGCTCGGCAGACGGGCGAGCGCTCTTCCAACCGAGCACTACATTAGTACGTTAGTACATTGTTCATCCAATCATAGCTCATCATACCTTCACTTCATTGCTTAACTGTTTGCTGTTATTTTTACAAAATTGTATGTTATTACCATCAGATGGAGATTGTTCCCAAGTAATCAGATTACCAGCGCAGTCAGTGTGGAGTGTAACATGTTTAAATAACGGAGATATTGTTACTGGATCAAGGTAAGATTCATTACCACCTTCTCACGTTCCAACAGTCTCCAACCTCACAGAATATTCAGACTAAAAAGAAAGGTTTCTTCCTCGGCTTTCTCAGGCTGCAAACACCCCAATGTCTTGTTACACTAATCACTTTTTCATGCAATTGACTTGTCTCGCAACTTTGTGCGAGACGTTTCAGGGACACCCAACGACCGTTTCCTTCTAAATACATTGAAAACACTTTTTAATTTCTCAATAGCACTTTTAGATCTCTATGTATTCTTAGAGGCGCTATAAAATTTGTATCTGTTCAGTCATCCTAGAGCAACTTGAGTCTTTTCGAAATTACAAGGGCGTCGTTATTATTTTTCCGAAAATTTTAGATGCAATTTCACGTATTACGAAAGTGAGAATTTTTCTGTTTTCTCTCTCCATCACATTTTTGAATCCGAAAATTTTAGGTTTCCTTTTTTCCACGAAAAAAGATTAACGTGGTGGGTGAAATGTGAAAAATTAAATCTTAGAAAATCGTAGGCAAATTTATTATAGATAAGCTTCGAAAACTTATAAATGGAACGGTCATCTAGAAATTTTTAGCTGTCCTCAAGCTAAAGAAAATTCTAGGCAATATTTGCTTCTCCGAACAGATATTTTAAAGAAAACAATCGTTCGGTGCACCTGACGCAACGTTCAATGCAACCGGATAAAACAAATGCTGCAGTACAGCGTTCAAAGAAAGTAGTGTCCAATAGCCCGGGGCTAGTGGATTTTGCTATCGGGCTAGTGAGTTCTGTTATTAACTTGCCCGACGGGCAAGTGAAGTTTTTTGAGGAATTCAAATTACAGAAGTACTGTCAAATCAATCTGCTCATCAAAAACATTTTTGGGGCTAGTTGAAATGATGTTTGGGCTAGTAAATGTTAGCTTCAAGCTTGCCCGAATGGCAAGCTGTAAAAATGACTTTCTTTGCACCCTGCAGTATTTCCTCAATTGTTGAGGAAGTAGTACTTGTTTCTGCTTTGTGCTATACTCGATGTAACTTGTGTCACAACAAAATTGTGAGACAAGTTTGGGGCAAAGATACTTTGTATGACAGGACATTCAAGTGTAGCCTGTGATTATTTCCTACCCCTCTATTTCACAAAATGACATCTTACACATGAAATTTTCAGAATTTTACCTGTATTTTCACAATTCTTGTGAAATTTGACATTTATTTCCTCTGGCTCCCGTGAGAGATAGTCTTTCGTGTTATTACAGATAATAAATTATATCTAACCCCTTGAAAAATGTAACAAAGAATGCAGTATTGTTTTTGGTATTAGGTTTTTGTCCACTGAAAGTTGAAATTACTCAATTTCCTGATGGATTCCGTCTTAATTTTGTTGTAGTGATGGTATTGCTCGTGTTTTCACTGCATCTGCAGAAAGAGTGGCATCTGCTGAGGAACTTCAGGTCTGTCTATGCTCATCCGTCCCTTCACGTAATTTTCATTTTTAAATCTTAAAAGCCAATTTGATTGATTCAGTTGATTGATTCAGGCCGCTACGACATATGTGCATTTTTTTCTTTCTCTTTTTTTAAGACATGTACAAAATTTTGTTTGAATTCACAAAAGAGGAAAAGGGCATTTCTTAAAGGACGAATTCCCCATTATTGTATGAGTATAATTGTTAATGAGTTAAAAAAAATTGAGCCCAGCGAATCCTCCAGTGGGATAGAAGGTCCTTTACTAAGTTCATATGTGACGCGAGTCCTGTCCCGACGGTGTCCAAAGTACGGGTTAGTACATGTAAGTAGGGACAGGATTGCTTAATTTACGTTTCATAGTTTTGTTATGTTTACCATTGTACACCCCGCCTGGAAACCAGCTTTTGTAGTGCGTGGTTAGCGTTGTAAAATAAATGTGTTGACTTGTTGACTTGTACGAGTGTATGAGAAGGAAAATCTGAGCGTCCCATTGGAATGCTTGAAACAGGCGATTTAGCCTAGTCTTTTAATGATTTTTTTTGTTTGGGTCTGGTCATAGTTGTTTGATGCTGAAGTTGCAAGCCACGCTATTCCAGCAGAGGCAGCCAGGTAAAGAACTACCCATTAAGAAAACTCGTTTAAGTTTTAAACACAATCTTACTTCAGTTAGTTACTGCAGGTTTTTCTTTGTTCCCTCCGGTTTGCTGTGTGAGGGAATGCGGAGGACGCAGAAATTATCAAGCCTACAGTATTGTCCATTTCCAGGTCGATGAATAGCATGTGGTCTTCCGCCCATCTCCTCCTATTTTATTTGAGGAGACGGGGAGCCCCCCGGGGTACTCCCTTATATGACCTATACGGGGATGTGCCGCCGAACAGGGTATGGTTTTTGACCTCTCTGTCCTAAACAGGGTATATAATTTTGTGTGAGTCCGTTCTTAACAGGGTATATAATTTCGTGCTGGGGGAGTCTGTCATCAGGGTATTGTCTGCACGATTAATTGATTTGATTTGAACAAAAGCAATGACTGTAAGGTGAATTTGCTCCATTGCAATTGCCAATAAATTGCTTTAGAACAAGACAGCGTGCATCTTGTCCTTTTTCATAAACAGGGTAATAAATTGAGGGTGTTGTCGTAAAGAGGGTATGTATTTTAGGAATTTTTTGGTCCTAAAAGGGGTTTGGGTTTCAAACCCCCAGCGGCTCACCTATACCCAAATTTTGGTCAAGTAACCGGGGGGGCATAAACACAGGCCATTTGATGAAAGGAGATGAGACAGTTTTCACAAGAACCACACATTAAATTTCATTCCACTTGACATGTCTGCTATCCAACACAAATACAAAGGGAACATCAATCATAATTTATCTCTTACTTATTTCTTTGGATTTGTTCTTCAAGTATTCAGTTGATTCTAACAGTAAATATTTGTGGTTTTTGTTTTAGTGGCCAGTTGGGTGATGTTAAACTCGAGGATCTTCCTGGACCAGAAGCTCTCCTTAGGCCAGGTGAACGTCAAGCGAAACTTACAAAAAATTTCATTCTGCTTACAGGCGTCTTTCCTGTAGAATTAATTTCGTCTCTGTGCCACACGTAAACATTGAAACTAAAATGAAGAACATTTCTGTGCTGGTTTTATACCTTACACGCGAGTTTAGCATAAACCCAGTAATGCTTTCGTGGCAATCAAGAGATAGATTTATGGTTTCTTGTTTTTTTTTCCTTAAACGGCCGTCACATTAGGGCCATTTATACGAGGAAAAATAAGACGCGTCTTACATAAGACGCGAACTTTCCGTATAAACGGCACATTTCGTCTAAAATAAGACGCGGCTTAGCTAAGACGCGTCTTATTAGATAAGACATGCTCGTATAAATGGTACAGTTCGCGTCTTATTTAAGACTCGTCTTATGTAAGACGCGTCTTATTTTTCCTCGTATAAATGGCCCTATTGTTTTGTTGAAGGTTCAATGTTAAATCAACTTTTAATAATGTAGAGAGTATGTTGGTCTTTAGCAGTAAAACAAGGTCATTTGGTATAACCTTTCAAAGTTTTGTCAATCTCTTATAAACCGTTTCTTTTTGTGATTATCTTAGGGAACGACAGTGGACAAACAAAACTGATCAGAAGGGGAAATATCATTGAATGTCATCAGGTGAGAACTCATTTGACTACACGATGGTAACTTAAACACAAAAACCTTTCATTACTCAACTGTGATGGTCTAAAAAGGTTACTGTGACAAAAGTGTCTTGCTGCATGGGTGGCAGCCTGCGAAAGAGTGGTAGAAGAGAGGGAGCTTCCCACCCTTCTATCCCTAGTCCCCCTCTTTTTTTTCGCTTCCTTTATTTTTCGCCCCTGCTCCACTATCTGAACGCATGGAACATTCTACATTGGTGGGGAGCGCAGCTCATAATTTTGTCAACTGAATTAATGAAATGAGTTCGCTGGTTTATGTGTTCCATGCCGGCCAGCATAAACATGAGCATAAACACTTGTACACTGGTAGAGAATCACCTTGTGCGTATGCTAGTACATCTTACTCAAAATGCTGGTAAATTTTGTCATTGTCAGTTTTGTCTGTGTGATAATTTGTCCTAAATGCTTCTTTTCAAGTAAAGAGTTCTTTTGAATTCTCCAAATGTAATGTAATGTAATGCAAAGAGGGCTAATTAACACCAAAAGATTAGCATGCAAAGTCAGAGATAGGTATCTAAATGCCTTGATAGTTCCATTTTGCCCACTGTAAAAGAAAATTGATAGCATTCCTTAACTAAGTAGTGAAATCATTGCCGAGTCTTCTTTACGATAATAACGGTTTTAAAACTTTCTTTTGCAGTGGAATGGTATGGAATCAAAATGGGACAAGGTAACGCTTTCACAGTTTACATCTGGTCGTTTTTCTCGAAAGACAAATAAACTAAGATGTCATACAGAGTTGAAAATAATTACTTGTAATTAAAAGATGCCCACAGTAAGCATTTGTAAATTACTTACTTTTAATTTTTCCTTTGGGTTATTTTTGTCTGATTTTCAGATCGGCGAAGTAGTTGGATCCGCAGGAACAGAGGGCGCTGCTAGGCAAACCCAAAAGCAAATGTATAACGGAAAGGTACCTTTGTCTACTGCTAAGCTGAGATACTACTGACTCAGAAGTGCTTTTTACTCTCGCGTACCACGGGTAAAAAATTAAAAAAAAATCAACAACAGTCCAAATTCCATTCTGTATTATATGTGTTTTAGAGGTTACTTTTGAATGGTCAAACCGCAGGAGCTTGCAACATGTATTCTTTTGTAATTGATCATGAGAAAGAGATGAAAATTCAGCTGTTAAATGCGGTTATGTTACGGGGGCTAGGGCCCCTATTCAAGCAAATATGAGAAGATAAGGCAAATGTTTCTCTGCGGATTCAAAAATTTTCACGTCCACACGTATCCCTGTTCAAATCGAATTTGTCCGTCCACACGTATCCGACACGTAACCGAATTCATTCTACTACCCAGAACTCCTTTGGGAATATTGGCAACAGAGCATGTGTCGTAAAGCGCGCGAAATTTGCGTCTAGAATAATGGCAGAATCAGCCCAAAAACAAAGAAAAATGCGAAGAGCAAGGTTGACTTCTCGACGGTTAAGGGAGGGAACCCTGGAATGGTTACGTCATCGGATGAAAAAATATCCGGATTTAGCATCCACTCGATTCCGGACTCATAGCGTATTCAAAAATTTCTACTCTGGAGAGCGAATTCAAAAAGTTGCGGATTCGTATGCCGGATTCGCCGGATACATGTAGACGGGGCCAGAGAAACAACATGTGTAGTAAAACGAGGCACCCATCAGGCTGTAGTGAATAACATGGGCGCAAGAAGCGGGCATAATGTGAATGAAAGCTTGATCGCGGGAACTTCACTACTAAAGCACTTTATTTTAACTCCCCTTAAGTGGACGCGGGCACCCTTTTCACGGTCTGTAGATCCTAAAATAACCTCCCTTATGAAACAAATCAAGACAAAAATCCACTATAAAAAAATCTCATATCTTCTTTGTTTAAACACAAAATGAATTGTAGGAATGGAATAGCACAATAAGTGTAAATGATAAGATTTGCTTTCCAGTTCCTTATAGCGCTTAAGGTTTATCTAGACTCCTTCCCCTTGTCCTGAAGATGTCCACCAGCAAGTCTAGTATTGGCTGGATCTTATAAACTGTTTTTTTTTTTCAGGAATACGATTTCGTTTTCGACGTTGAAATACAAGAAGGAGCTCCTCGCATGAAACTACCGTATAATTTGACTGGTATGTAAAGGATGTGCTGTTTTATTTGTAACCCCTTTGTGAAGTAACTTTGGAAATGACGTTGTGGAGGCGAACGTGGCCGAGAGGTTTAACACCTCGATCTCTGGATCTGGAGGTGCGGGGTTCAAGCCCGTCGCGTTGTTTCCTTTGACAAGGAACTTTATTCCACTTTGTCTTTCTTCACCCAGGTGTATAAATAGGTGCCGGCGACATACTGCTGGGGGGGCAACCCTGCGGAGTAGGAATATTCCTAGGTACTCTTCGTGCTAAGGAATCCAGGATAAGCTCCGGCCATTTGGGCCTTTGCGTCGTGTGCGCCTTAACCTTTTTTTACTTTGGAAATGACGTTAACCTGGCAGTTTTAGTTAATTCCTTTTTTTTGTGTTTTAAAGATGATCCGTGGATGGCGGCTCATCAGTTTTTAGAGCGAAATGACCTGAGTCAGATGTTCTTAGATCAGGTGGTTGACTTTATTTTAAAGAACACTAAAGGAGTCACAATAGGACAACAGACACCAGCGGCAGGAGATCCCTTCACTGGTATGAAACTACTAACCCCCTCCCCTTTGGGATGTGCTGTTAATTCTGCGCATGTATCTACCGTCCGAGCTGAAAATAGTGAGCTTAAGTAACGACGAAAGCGACGGCAGCTAAAACTTCACTTTTCAAAAGTCTTCGCGGTTTTTTTTTTCGAGTTTTTCAACTCCCTTAAAATGTTAAATGCAGGTAAATTTCGCTAGGATTGAATTCTTGTAGTCGTGCAGTGACTGCAAAGAAATGTACCAAAAAAGTTTGCTGCACGTGCAGAGTTGTTGTTTTGTCGTAACTGTCGTCAAATGACAGTCAGTCTTCGGACTTGTTGCGAATCTTGGACTTTATACTATGCACAGTTTCGAGACGCGTAATGCATACTTGATTGAATCCGACCCCATTTCTGTTTTGTCTGATCAAAATGATGACTTAGCCAGACTAACGAAATTTCAAAAAGGAAAAATTTTCTGGAAGTCTGCATCCTCTGTGCTTTATATAGGGTACTAATTGGTAGAACTCCATCTGACTGTAAAATAACGTCTTTTTGTCTGAAGTAGTAAGTAAATTTTTATTCTTCTGATATTGTTTCAGGAGCTGGGCGCTATATTCCGGCGGCTGCACCATCACAAGCTCCAGTTAGTAATTTCAGTATGGGTGGAGGAGCAGTTGATCCTTTTACAGGTAAAATACACACCATACTTAGCCTGTTTCTACTATCTGAACTCGTGGACTCGGCCCTGAATAACAGTTTTGACTCTACTAACCAAACTGTTTTATATCGTGTTGGGTGGAATCCCTGCCATTCCATGTATGAATTAATCCAGTATATTTAACAATTATTCCACGAGTGCTTGTTGGATATGAGATGGTAGATAGCCAACTCGGCACTACGCGCCTCGTTGGCTATCAACCATCTCATATCCAACAAGCACGAGTAGAATAATTGTTTTATTAAAAACGCCCACAAAATATCGAGAATTCTTCCCGACTTTATTTGTAAAAACAACCGATTTTCAGCTTGTTTTTAATTTTGAGCAGACGCGTACAGTTACCATATTTGGAGAGTATGGTACAATGACGGCTAAGCTAATCAGAGTTCTAGAATTACATTATCCATTGATCCAGTGTTTAATAAAATGTGTTAGTTAGAGCACATACTTGTACACCCTGTGTAAAGGTATAGAATCCAGTTTTGACATTGTAGGTATATTACTTACTTTTTCCCCAACATGTTAGGTGGTGGCAGCTATAGACCTTCCTATTCAACTCAACAGACCAACTTGGGAGGAGTGGACCCATTTACAGGTATCACATGTGATTTACCAAGCCCCTGCTTATCATTTGGAGGTCATCTTTTGAAGCAATAACAGAGTGAATAAATGTCAAAAGTCACTTTGGGGTAACAACTGTGACTTTTGTGATTTCAAAACAAAACAAAACAAAACAAAACACAAGGAAAGTGACTTTCCTTTCTGTTGTTTTTTTTTTGTGTCGCTGCTGTTTCACTCCCTCCATAATCATGAGTCGTACACAAGTGTATTTTCGCGAGATGTGGACATCTTGCTCTTTCACAGCTACTAGCGTTTTATGAAGATAAGGAAATCACGAGAAAATACTTTTTTGAAGTAAACTGCCTCCAGAAATGGATGTATTCATAGTAGCTGAAAAGATTAACAACAGTCATTTAAGGCACTTCATTGGTATTTATTTAATTGTTTAATTCTCTGTTAGGTGCAAGTAGTTACAGATCAGGCCAAGCTGGGAATCAACTCAGTTCACCGAGTAAAAGTTCTACCGTGTCTCAGAACCCTTACTTTCCCAAGGTAATTTATATCTGCTGTTAGATGCTTTAAAAACGTCTGCTTGGAAGAACGTCCCACCTTGTGTTTCTTTCTCTTGCAGATGTCTTTTATATCATTTGATAATGCTAACGTTGCTGCTATCGCTGGAAAATTAAAAGAATTCAACGATAGTTTACAAGAGGTATGGTTGGTGTGTTTACTATGATGAATAGATACGCGTTTCAGCTTTGTTGGCAATGTAATTGGTACGAAGTATTTTAATGATCGCGGATCCTCTACTTTTAGCAAGTGGAGCAGTGTTAAAAGCCTCTGTTGTGCCATGAATCGTGCTGTCGATCTACCCACCGTTTTCCTGCTTTGCGTGTATTATGCTGATTTAGTTCTGGTTTGTGTACGTTGTGAACCGAAACGCATCATACTTGAAGTTGCCAGCGTTGTATGCTGCCATTTTGAGCTTTTGATCCTTAATTGAACACGGTATCTGATATCGAATTAAACATGATAAAATTTAACCGATCCAAAATTGTTGTCATAATTTTCCCCAGTACTGTTTTTTTGTTTGTTTTCATCTTACTTCTTAGGATCCGCTTCAGTTAGGAGAGGATGAACTAAAGAACCTGATGGGTAAGAAAAAAAATCTTGTTCCAACCACAAGTTTTGGAAAAACCAGTCAACAATCAGCGTTTGTGTAATTAAGTTAATAAAGTGTGCGGTTGGAAAAAAAATTGAAAAAAATGAAAAAAAAAAAATGAAAAAAGTGTTCGAACCCAGGACGTTCGGTCACTATCCCACCACTGTACTCTGGCCGGGGCTAAAGTACAGGTCACATTCCACAGGTCAAAGTACAGGCCCCAGTTGTTGAAAAGGTGGATAACGCTGTATGTATGACCTCCCGTCGGTCGGTTTTACTTATAACTCCTCGTCTCACCACTTCCTGTTAAAGTATTCAAAAGTTCTGTTGTCGCTCAAACCTTGCTGAACATGTCTTTGATTATTGTAGAATTTCTGGAAGACGTGGCAAATGTGGATAAATCTAGGTCACCAAAAGTCGAACATCTTCCGTCTCTGGTTAAAACCCTGAAATGGCCACTAAAGGTGCTTTTTCCAGGTAAAGTACATCGAGGAGAATTGTTTAAATTGTTCTGGTAGTGATTTTACGCTTACAAGAAGCTGCTAAGAAGTTTACAAGCATTTCTTTATCTTTCTGAACAGCTTTAGATGTTCTACGTTTGGCTGTACGATTTCCATCCATTACCAAACTTTGCTGTAGTGAATCTGAAGGAGACAATCTCGCGGCTAAGCTACTTTCTTGTGCAAGGTAACTAAAAAAGATCCTCGTGGACGTAAGAGGAATACGAATAACACATCCCTCCACCCCCCACCCCCCAAAAAGCAGGTGGAAACACAAGAGAGAACTTTGAAGAAGTTTCAAACACTGTGAGATCGAATCACCATCAGTCTCTTCACGATGTTTCCATCTTGAAGAGACGATCATTTCCAGATGTTGCTATCATTTCTTTTCAGCTACATAGTTCTTTCGCTTTATGTTTTCCCCGCTTTGCATCGTTTGCGTGCTTTTTAACAGGTTTTTGCTCACGTATTTTACTTGTTCTATCTAGTAACACCTTTATTTGTTTCTTACAGAGACGACAATCCTCAAGCGAACGTGCTTCTGTCATTTCGAATATTCTCTAATCTATTTTTGAGCGATGAAGGCTCTGCTTTAGCAATGAGACACAGAGAGAAAGTGAGTATCATAAACTCAAAAAAATATTTCAATTAAAAAAAAAAACTATAAAAAATCTTGGAATGAATAATCCCAGATTATGAGTCGGCCGTTATTCATTAATTTAGTTATTCAGTAATTCCTAGTCCGAAGTCTCATCCGTCTGCTCGACCCAGCTGCCGTAGGCGCGGCTGTCGGAGAGACTCTCCCCTCCCTCGCCAGGCCGGCCATTGGAGGCAGGGGGGTTAGGTGGGGAGGGGATTACAGTGCTTCTCCGTGCCATACAAAACACTGACAGGGTGGGGGTGGGGGCTGGGCTTGGAGAGGACTACAGTCCTTCTCGGTGCCATACGAAATACTGGGGCTGGGAGGGGAGAGGACTATAGTGCTTTTTCGTGCCATACAAAATGCTGGCAAGGGGAGCTGGGTGAGGAGAGGACTACAGTGCTTCTTCTTGCCATTCAAAATACTGGCAGGGGGCAGGGTGGGGAAAGGCCCTACAGTGCTTCTCCGTGCCATACAAAATACTTTTATTATTTACATCTCAGTTGATACGTGCGTGTGGGTGCAACTCGTAAATTGTGAAATTTGACCGCAACTTCATTGAAAGTTTTCCGTCTTTCTATCTTTTGCTGTGTCTCGTCTAATTCATGATCTAACTGGTCTCGTTATTTTCTATAGATAGTGGAACACTTAATACCTTGGTGTAAATGCTCAAACAAGAACATAAGAATATCCTTATGCACTGTTCTTCTAAAGTAAGTTCCAGCAATGACATGAGTTTACTGAGACATGGAAATTGGCGCTTTGAATGCTTGTTCCCGTCAATATAAAAACCGACTAAGGACGAATGTGAAATATCTACTGAATTTTTGCTTTTTTAATTCTGCCTGGTATTACGGCCTTGTTTTAGAAAGGAGTCATCGACAATCAATCATGCAGAAACGTTAGTTAAGCCAGAATTGATTTTCTTAGCGCCTTTGTTTGTTTGTTTGTTTTTTTCAGTTTCTCCGTCCTTCTTCGGAAGCATCCCGACTTTGAAGCTAAAACACAATGTCTGTCAACTCTAGCGGGCGTAAGTGCAGTACAATTTGTTGTCCATCATTGTTCTGAGCATCATCGTTATCAATTGAAAAAGACTGATGTAATTATGATAATGATATTTTGCAGATCTTGGAAAGTGATACAGATAATGAAGCTAGATTCAGATCTCTAGTTGCGGTCGGGACTTTGGTAAGTGTTTGTAGACTGTGACTAGTGAAGCTTCAAGCTGCACTGATTGTGCTTGATTGAAGTCTTAGCGGTTTCTGGTTGTTGCAATCTAAAAGATATTTAGACCTAATTTCACCTGATAAACACTTGCCAATGGCAAGCAAATTTACTAGTTTGAGAATGCTGTTTTGTTAGTCAGTACAACATGCGAAAAAAAGGATAAAACTATAAGAAAGCAGACGGGGGTAATGCTCATAGAAGTCAGGGGAAATCCCCGGCCCCGGGGGCCCTTGGTGACAGCCCTGCGGCATACATGCGGCCACTAATAGTAGTTGATCCTATAATGTTCTGGTTATTTGTCCAGATGCGCTACCACTGAGCTATAGGAGTCTCGTGGAAGCTTGGGCCATTGAGCTAGGCACATGCGACTAACATTTTACATCCTGCGGCTAGGGCTGGAATATCAATAGGTGGTATGTGCGCAATGATAGACATTTGATGGTGTAAGTCTGGACATGTTGAATTGCTTTAAGCCATTGTTTCAACAAGGTCGGACCAATCATGGTGACCTTCTCATGTAGGAGAAGTGACAGCGGCCTTTTGCCAGTGAACAGATGAATACACAGTACCACTGACTCGTATGATATACAGAATATATATTTTAAAGCACGGTTTTTTTTGCTCCTTTTTGCCCTGCGCGTCTTTCGCGCATGTCTCACTTAGCCTAAAGGAAACGGAAAGGACTGCTACGCAGGCTAGCAAATCGACAAGAATCGAACACACGACCATTGGAGCTTTGTATGGGTTTGCACTTGGGCAGTGTATATGTTATCAGCTTTTATTTGTCTTGCAATGGAAAAGCAAATGCAATTCATTAAATCAGCACTTCAGCATTGTTTAGTAATAACTAATTAAAATGATTTTATTTGCAGATCTGGGGAGATTCAGATGCCCTGTCTTTAGCTCAATCATTAGGAATTCAAAGTTCATTGAAATCTCTCACTAGTATTACGGATCCTCCTAAGGTATTATTGCAAATGATATCTTCTTACACGTACCTGTATATTTAGCCAAATGCGGAGCCTGAAACGAGGAAAGGATATTGCGTGTGTGGTACATGTACAGTGTGTTGATTGTCATCCTGAATTTAACGGAGCGCCCGGCAACCGGTTGGAAAGGGTAGAACGATAGACTATTTGCGGGCCTTTTTTTGCTTTTCTCTGTGTTCGCTTTGTCCAGACGCCGTTGACCGCGCATAGATCGCTTTCCAGTGGGTTAAACAATGTCTGAGATAAATCCAATGAGTAGTGAGAGCCAGGTAGTTACATCTCTGGCTGCTGACCATTCCAAAAAATTACATCAAGAGTATTTGTTATTTTACGTTTTCTTTAACAGGTTGGAGAATGTGCTTCGAAAGTGTTAGCCGCCTTAGAGGATTAAAATAACCAGCTTTTGAGACGTCAGCTTGTGGTTACCTAACGAATGCAAGAGATCGCGGCAACGATGTTAGGAAGCCGAATAATTCAGTTGCTGCTTAAAGATTTGCGGTTTATCCCAATCGCCTTCTCCATGGGTCAGATGTGTTTAGCATTTTTATGCATTCTTATCTTAGTTCGTTTATTAAGGCGAACTGCCAGTTTACGCTCAGCTAATGAAATACTTGTATGTTGGCTCATAAAACAAGGATCAATAAAAAAATCGGGAAACAGCTTCGCTGGGACGTTAACTGTGACATGCATTGTTGCTAACGAAAGAATTATAAAACCTGCGTTGCCTAGTCTACTCTGTAGTCACTGTATTGCTGTGTTTAAGGCCCGTCGTTGTTCGAATTCGTCAGTTGGATATGGCTTTGAGAATATGTTACGGTGACGTCGGCAAAAAAAGCCAAACACTGCGATTTCTTTTTCTATATACTGGCCATAATGTAACTATTTTATTGTCTTAAAAGAACTGACTCCGAAATAAAACAAGACCTTTAAACATAGCTTATCAGTCCTTTTTACTTTCTATCCTAAATTGTGACTTGGAAAGACATTTTTTAGTTTTTTTTTATGCCATTAAAGAGCTCCATATTTCCTCGCAATTCCAGTCAGAGAGATCTTTTAGTTTGTTGGAAACAGTTCAAGTGACGCATAGCTGATTAGTTCATTGCTGACGCGACTGTGATAAATATTTAGTTAATAAGTTCCGAAACACACTGTTTTTGAGCACCAAACAACATCAAAAACAAGAACTATAGTGCCAACATCTTGCTTCTGTGCTCTTGTGTATGTTATGAACCTTTCGGCGTTTTTGTGGCCGAACCCTCAAATCACGGAAATTGTACATCAGCAGCCAGCTTCAATTTTTTTTTAGCGTAAACTTGGTTTTAACTTTTTGCACTCTAAGAGTGAATGCAGCGCTTCTTTTTTCTGTTTTTTTTTCCCCCCTGAGAAAGAGTTCATGACGTAGATTTTTGTATCACTTTGCTAAGTTTAATTTGTTTGGAACAAGCAAAAGTGTTTTTTTTTTTTCAAGATCAGGTTTAAAAAGGAACAAACCAATTGGAATTGATAATAACCTCTTTCCTCTTTGATCCCACGCGCGTTTCACCTCAAGTTATCGAATTATCACCCAGGGGGCTGAATTGCGTTACACGAAACGTGGAGTCAAACAGCTTTGCGGGACAAACACAAATTTTTAAATTAAAAAAGTAATTTTTATTTATTTATCTAGATCCCCTTTCGTTTTCTTCTGTGAAAATACTTTTAAATAAACAACTGTTTCTCGCCGCCTTAGAATTGAAAACCATTGTAACCTCAATAATTTATTTTCTTGCCTCAGATCGCAATATACGTATCGTACTATTCATGTATTTTTGTTCAACTCTGCAAGTGTTTTTGTTTACGTCATTACAGGAAATAAAATGATCAAGTTGTTACAATTCCAAAGTTATTTATGAAGCTGAGTAGTGTTTCAAATTTTGTCCTAGAACTTTTTTTTATTGATTCCTTTCATTTGCAAGATTAAAAAGCAAAATATACCGACCCACAAAAGGCGTGTTTGGAGTGAATTTATAGAAATTTCGCTTATATTTTATACAGTCAGTCTATTGACCAAGATACTTTCCGGAAAGAACTTATTCTAAAAAAAACTTGTAAATCTCGTATGGTATGTCTAAAACATGTCCTTTCCCTAAAAAAGGTCTTTGTTGATGTTTATGCATAAAATTTATTTTCTGGAAGTGTTTATTTTCATCGGAAGCGAAGCGTTAAGAACAATAACACTCTCATCGTGTCGCTATCCTTATTGAATATTGCGGCGGATTTACCAACTTAAGTTTTATTTTAGTATAGTCCAATTCGCTAATTAAATTTGATATTTGACAAACGAAAAGTTATGAAGAAAACCGCCTTTTCTTAGACACATTGATAACTTTCCCAACTAAACTATGACGTATAATCGTAGAACAGGCCCTTGCGACAAGAACTTTTTCTAGTCTAATATGCATTAGAATAACGCAGATAAAGTTGATTTTAAAGTGTTTATTTATATCCATGTAAAGAGAAGAGCTAGTGTCAATGCTGCCAAAATACTGATAATTTTTGCTTCAGGACGTCTTCAGTTTCAAAGTAAATCATAACGTAAGTATGTTTTTTTTTCTGGAAGTTCCGCGCCACGACCTTAGCTGTGATGCAAGAGCCGGTCAGCGATTGTTATAATTCTTTCGGTCGTCTAATAATTTTAAGCCTTTTTGCCGCTCATTTTACTGATCTAAGTTACAGCGCTTATGTCCAGTGTTATCTTCTCGCCTTTTAATAAAAGGCAGCCGTTGTTTGCACAAGTATGATTTATTTCTACTGTTATGTGTGTATTATTCACTCATCTCATCACTTGTTACGGATAAAGAAAATGGAAATTGCAAATCTTATCAGCTCTCAATCGATCGTGCGTAAACTTCGGCAGAAAGCCCGAATGCCAGAGATATTGAGAAACAAGAACAGAGAATTAATACTTCTAAAAATCCGGCTCACATTTTTAACGTTCCATATTTCCGTTGTGATCTTTTCTTTATTTATTACCACAAAATAACAATTTACGAGCTCCTGCAATTTAAATGACTACCGAGATTTGAGATTTACTCGTTATAAAGTAGCTTCTTTTCTCCCGGAGCTTTTGCAAACGGCCTCATTGTCCAGAGTGCTCATTGTTACACCTGTCCCACAACAGTGAACAAGTGAAATGTTCGGTCACCGCACATGATATAGCTAAAGATTTGTTAGTCATCCGTCGTGAGCCAAAGGGCTACTGGTGCGACTCACTAGTGAACCAAGATAAGAAAAGCTAGAGGTGATCTTCATTTTACAGATATCAACGATTTATATTGAAGTGTCGAACTAAATCCCATAGCGTACATATCTGTGTAGAGATTCAAGGTTATGCGTCCCTATATTTTGAACTGAGTTGAATTTCGGAAAGTTTGAACTGGGAAGGAATTGTTCGACTCGATCCGGCCCTAGGCTTCACGTTTGGGCCATTACTATGACAAAAGGAATTTCACAAAGGAAGTAAACTGTATGTGTCAGACTGATTGAAAAGGGCAGTTCTATTAAATGACCTTTCTAGCAGAGATGCAACTGATTTTATAGGATTTCTAATGCAAAACGATTAATATTTTACACACTTTTTTCCTGATTCGAGTATGTTTTTCCTCGAAATGTAACTGGTTACAATAAGTTTCTAAAAATTTTAACCCACACATTTTTCTAATTTTTCTTTCATTTACACTTTACACATTTGTCAGCATATCGCTTAGTCATAGTCCTGCTAATCTGTAAACGAGCCCGTTCCAGCGGGGCGAAGTAAAAAAAAAAAAAAAAGAAGAGGGGGGGGTCGGCGGGGGGGGGGGGGGGCGGAGAGACAGTCAATCATCCGTACTGAGGTCCCCCTAACCCCCCCCCCCACTTTTTTTGTGCGTGTTTTTTCTTCGGTCCCCCCTAATACATTGGCGTAGGGCTTACACAGAATCCGGTGGCTTGTATTTTTTTTTTTCTTTTCATGCCGCATTCTATATACAAGATAGTAAAATCTAGAACAGAGGTAGGTGTGAGTTGTTAATTAACGACGGTATCTGGTAGCAGATTATGGTTACGTGTGTGTGGTTTATGTTGGTGAAGATTGTGAGGCAGTGCTGTGAGGTGGGGTGGGGGTGGTTGGACTACAGGGAGGGGTGGAGGTGGGGGGTGGGGGGATGGAAGGCCCAGAAAAAAGGGGAGAGGGGGGGGGGGGGGGGGGGGGGGGGGGGGGGGGGGAGAGGGCAAGATTCCCTAGGCGCTCTCCCTAAATCCCCCACCCTCTATTTTTTCTCACTTTCTTTTCTTCGGGCCTCTCCTAACTATCTGAATGGCTCCTGAAGTAGGCTGGACGAGATGTTTTTTTTCCTACCTGTACACCAGCATTACTTCACAGTCTGTTATTGTTTTGGGAGATTTTCTTTTGCGATTTATAGCAACTAGGGATTTGGATTTCTTACTGTATGATTACAAATTAAATACATAAAATTTTCGAACGGATATTATTTTCTCTCAGTTCTTTTACCGCTGTACCTTTTTGACATGGGTTGGCCAAGGACTTTTACTGTCATTTATTGTTCTCTGCTTTTTCTAATGGCGGAGGTAGGAAGTATGAAATATACCCTTGTAAAATCTTTTTTGTTATGGTTACTTCAGTATACAGGCCTATCTACAAGCATTTAGCCTGGTCAGGCTTAGACTACGAGTAGTCCCCCATTTTTCCTCAGAGATAGTAGAGCGAGCGAAACGCGAGCGCGCGTGAAAATCACCCCACGCGAGACAGTAAACCATATTAGGGACGTCGCAAAAACAAGATCAATGGAAAAGAGTCGCGCGTGATCTGGAAAAGAGTGCGGGGCCTTCTCTCTGCCCAGCCCCTGTGCGTTTTTCGCATCCGTTTTAACAGTTTCCGCGATCTACTTTCTTGGAGCCTGGAACAGGCTAGGTAGTATCGTTCTCTCCGTTGTCTGAAACAAGCCTTTTCGACTTCATAAAAGGTCACATAAAGCTACATAATTAGGTATGATTTAGACGGGGAATTAAAATTTCGCAAATTTAAAAGTCTGACTTTGAGCGCACTTGAAATCAGTGGCCCCCAAATACAAGTGATGCATTTTCAGTATATATAAATGTTTTTCTATACTAGTCTGGGCTCGGTAAGCCTTTATCATACTGTAAAAGCAAACAATGTTTGGATGTGGAGTTGGAAAAGATGTTTTGTCAATAGACACTGCATTATGTCTCTGTGTTCATACAGCTATGCATACACTGTTTGCTGTATCATTATAGAGTAACGCAAACAAGTTTTACATAGGCGAACATTCTGTGATTTCGGAAAGGATTCAACTTTTTAGCTCTCACACTGTTTCAGAGAGATTTACCAGTGTGATCTATTTTCTCACTTATGCCGGTATCCACACTCTGATACACGGAGAAACGAAAAGAAAATTGTATCCCTATCCTGGAATGCGTAAGTGTGTTTTATCTAGTACAACATACTGACGACCAAAACGAAGAAAGGCGAGGGGGGTCTCAAGATTATAGATAAGACTCTAAAGAAAGAGATGTTAGCACTGGGAGAAGAAGGGGTTGTGTGGGGGTACTCTGTGCTAGATCAATTGTAAAGATAGACCTGCGAAAATAACTTGAGGCCACTCTAGCTCACTGATCACTGGCAATTCTTATCATGGGCTACCTTACCGGTGTCATTTTCACATTACACCGTGGGTAGTTTTTAGAGATGACTGGAGACGTTGTTTTGGTAAAGAGCAGGCTAATCTGAAAGGGAAAAAGGGTTTTTGAAACTTTATCTGGGTTATTGTGCTCTGGGCCAATAAACCTAGCTTGATTGTTTCTATCGAAATCACTCTTTTAAGTGTTTTAAAAAAACATTTACAAAACATACGACTCTTTTGAAAAATGCATATTTTCATGATTGCGAGCGACTAACAGACCCTACTTC